GTAGGCCAGGCTGGTCTTAACTCACAGAGATCTGCCTGCCTCTGCCTCCCGAGTGCTGGGATTAAAGATGTGTACTACCAACGCCCAGCAATTTTTTTCTTTTTTTAAGGACTTTATAATTTTTAAACTTTTTCATATTTTTGGTCGTTAGCCTAGCCCTTAATGGGTGAGCCATCTCTCCAGCCCCCCCCCCCCCCCCCCCGTTTTAAGATTTATTTATTTATTATGTATACAGTATTCTGCTTCCATGTATCTCTGCAGGCCAGAAGAGGGCACCAGATCTCATTATAGATGGCTGTGAGCCACCATGTGGTTGCTGGGAATTGAACTCAGAACCTCTGGAAGAGCAGGCTCTTAACCTCTGAACCATTTCTCCAGCCCATCCGGCCCTATTTTTAAACTTTTTAAGTCTATGACTGTATATAACTTTTTCTTTTCTCTCCCAAGCCTTTGCATATTTTTAAATACACTGTATCCCGTTTAAAGTTTTTTTTTTTTTTTTCCTATCTGGATCTGTCTTTACCAAACATCTGCATTATTTTTTGATCACATGAGACAAAGGTGTGTCAGCTCCTGCTGGTGCGGTTAGCTTAGTGTATGATGATTGGTGGCTGGCTCCTTCCTCATGCAGCTGCTGGGAGACACACCGAGTTACTGCAGCTTGCAGGAGAGACAAGACACTAGGAAGCTGTGTTTGGCTCTGTTTTTGTGTGTTTAGAACGTCTTGAAAGCTTTTTCAGGTTTTATGTGGATGTAGGTGCCTGATGTTTGCTCACCATATATAGGCGGAGTTTCTCTGTGTCTCTGCAGCTGCCCCCAAATAACCACTCAGAGACTTATTATTATAAATGCTCAGTCAATAGCTCAGGCTTGTTACTAACTCTTACAACTTAAATTGACCTGTATATATTATCTTCCCTCTGCCACATGGTGGTTCCTTCTTCCAGCACAGCATGTTCATCGCCTGTGTCATCTACATCTTGCTTGGAACTCCTCAGACTCTCCCCTTCTTCCACGCATTCTCTCTGGTTCGCTTGCCCAACCTTATCCTGCTTAGCTTCTTTATTAAGCCAATCACAGTGACATGCATTCACACAATGTAAAGGAATATTCCACAGGTTATACCTAAGAAGGCTTTATCTAATCCAAGGTCATGAAATTTTAGTTTTATAGTTGTTTCGAAGTGTGTTATACTTTTAGGTGTTACATTTAAGTCTGCCATGTATTTTGTTTTAAATCTTGGGTGACTTAGGAAAAGAGCCCACCTTTATTCTTTTGTGGGTAGGCATATAATTGCCCCAGCTCTTTTGTTCCAAAGACTATGTATCTTCACTGAATTCAGTTGACTGTAAATGTCAAGAGTTTGCCTCTAGACTCTAATTCTACCTCACTGATCTATCTGCTTCTTCATATAGCAGCTGCTGCCACCCCCAAGAAAAATCCAAACAAGTCTTGAACTCCTGATCCTCCTGTTTCTACCCCTAGAGTTGATGGCATTCTAGTTGTAATCTCTTACCCCTCCCCATTTCCCCTGAAATAGGTTTTTTTGTGTCTCAGGTAGGTGTGGGCTGTCTACATAGCTAAGAATGACCTTGAACTTCTTGGTCCTTCTTTACTCACCAAGTACTGAGATTGCAGGCATGTGCCACTATACTTGGCTCATTTGTGGTTATTTAACATGTCTTTCTCAAGTTTATTGTTCTTGTGTTTTATAGATTTTGACCTAAACATTTTTTCTTTGTTTTTCCTAAGTGCTAGGCATACAACTTTGGCCCTTGTGTATGCTAGGGAAGTGCTCAACTCCAGTTTTTATATGAGGAGTCCTTTGGATTCACTTGTCCTTCATTCTTAATGTTTAAATGCTTGCTTATAATTTTATTCTTTTTTATTGTTGTATTTTTTCAGGTTGGCCTCAAACTCACTATATGGCCTGGAATTCCCCAGTTTGCCACTTTACCAAATGTTATTCATTAACTTACCTCTTACTGCTCTATAGGGGTCAGAAGTAAAGGCCTCTCAGTAAGCAAGCAGGGACCAAAAAAGATCTTTGCTGGGTTAGGTTTCTGTTCATCACCACCCTCTGGGTCACCCAGGCTTATAGGAGGAGTTCCCAAATTGTTTTCACTACTGATATTGTGAATTCTGAATTTCCTTCTCTCTATAACTCTGACCCTAACTCCTTTCAGTTATTTCTTAGAATTTAAAGTTTTGCCTGAGAGAGAGAGAGAGAGAGAGAGAGAGAGAGAGAGAGAGAGAGAGTAGCAGATATCCATTTTATTGTGTGTAAGAAAGAAAATATAGTACAGTATAAGAAAGAAAATATCACAGGGTTTGGTTAGACTTACCTAGGTGGATTGTATTCTCATTACCCTTGGGCATTCTGCAACCACTGTAAGCAGAGGCAAAAGAATTGTGAATTCTAGGCTAGCCTCATTTATATAGTGAGACCTTGTCTCAAAACCAAAAAACCAAGCAATTGTGATCCTTGACTTTCTCTTGTTCCTAGGTAGAATGTATGCTTAACAGCTCCTTGGTTGAATAGTCCACACATGCATACAAAGAAAAGTTTTAAACACTATGTTTAAAATGGGATTTTGTTACATTCAGTTTGACAGTGTGAATTAGAACTAATAAAATCATTTAAAATTTATTTTATTAATTTTGTTTGTTTAAGACAGGGTTTCTCTGTGTAGCTCTGGATATCCTGGAACTATATACCAGGCTGGCCTTGAACTGAAGAGATCCTCCTGCTTCTGCCTCCAGAGTACTGCCACCCCCAGACAAACTTTTATAATAGGAACAAAGATTGTAGATATCTGAAGAAACTATAATATGATAAGTAGGTGGATTGTGTGCTCATTGTCCTTGGGGTATTCTGTAACCACTGGCTTGTTAGGAGAGTGGAGCATATATAAATTCCACTTCACTCAAGCCCACCCACCAAAATCTAGCAATTTTTCAAAGAGCTATTTGGTTGGTTATTTGCTGTTTCTTGGCTCTTACTTACTATGCATGATAATCATATTTGCTAAGAAATAAATATGAAAATGAGAGGCTTGTGAAGAGACATCTAATGCTTGTATCATGGTATAGTTCAACACTGGAGGTTCTTAATGACCCTACCTTAGGAAGGGAGTTTGGATTCGTTGTATTTTAGAGAGGATACAGAGAGATGGTCCAGCAGTGAAGAGCACATAGTGTTGCTCTTCGAGAAGACCCCAGTCCAGTTACCAGCACCCACATTAGACTGTTCATAGTCACCTGATACTTGTTGCTTTTATGCAGAGCTGCACGAATGTGGCAGGTGCCTACATCCATCAGCGCATACACTCACGTTCGCAGAAATTTTATAAATATATAAATTTATATCTGAAATAGTGGGCACAGAAAATTCCAGTTATTTGTAATAACACATGTGACTTGACTGGCAGTTCTACCTCTTGTTCCTGAACCTCACATCCGTCCTTTTTCATGCATGGTCTTCATCTAGTGTAGTTTTACAATCTCTTTTCTGACTTTTATTGTCTTCAAATCTTAAGGTTCTTTCAAGATTTGCCCTGACTCTAGATCATGTATCCTTGTACATTCTTGTTTTGTTTTTGTATTCATTCATTCATTCATTTTGAGATAAGGTTTCTCTGCTTAACAGCCCTGGCTGTCCTGGAACTCACTCTGTAGACCAGGCTGGCCTTGAACTCATAGGGATTCATCTGCTTTTGCCTTCCGTGTGTTGAGATTACAGGTGTGCACTACCACCACTCTGCTTTCCTTTTACATTCTTAGAGAACCTCTCAAAGTTTATATTTATTATGATTATAGTTCCTTGGTTTTTTATATAATTTATCTTTTGAAATTATAATATAGTCATGTCATTTTCCTTTTTCTTCCAATTCTTGTCATACACTTCTTTCTCTAAAATTCTTAGTTACACACACACACACACACACACACACACACACACACACACACGCGCGCGCGCGTGTGCGCGCGCGCGCGCGCACACACGTTATATACATATTTAGCATCCACAAATAAAATGTATTTATGTGTCAAGTCAGCAAGTAGAAGTATCACAGAGTAACCCAGAGTTTTATATACTTTTGTGCTTGTGGATAATATTTGTGATTTCATGGGGCTTTTATGAATACTTTAAAATCTTTTTTTTTTTTTTTTTTTTTTTTTTTTTTTTTGAGACAGGATTTCCCTGTGGCTTTGGAGGCTGTGCTGGAATTAGCTCTTGTAGACTATGCTGGTCTCGAACTCACAGAGATCCTTCTGCCTCTGCCTCCCAAGTGCTGGGATTAAAGGTGTGCACCACCAACGCCCGGCTTATTTTGTTTTTTAAAGATAGGGTTTCTCTATGGAACAGTTCTGGCTGTTCTGGACACACACGTTCTCTCTTTTCTCTCTGTCTCTCTGTATCTCTGTCTTTGTCTCTCTGTCCGTGTATGCACACACACACACACACACACCTGTGTGAGTTTATGTGCACCATGTGCATGCAGGTGCCTGAGGAGAGGAGGCTATCATAGTCTCCAAAACTGGAGTTACAGATGGTTATGAGCCACTTGGTGTGGCTGCTGGGAATGGAACCAAGGTCCTGTTTAAGAGCAGCAAATGCCACCTCCAGTGCCACTTGTAATCTTTTCCGCTTGGACTGTGTGTCCACTGCATTGTATACATCATTCACCTTTTCTGACAAAGGCACATTGAAACATTAGTGAAAAAAGGAAATTATAGGAATAACTAACCATTCTCTGTGATTTATATATAAAATGATTTATAAGCATTTGATTATTTAAAGCTTACCTTCAGAAACATGAAGTTGCCATATCCAGCTTTTGGTTCTCATATTTAACTTGTTTTATTTTCCTCTTGTTTATGACTTCTGACTGAATTAGAAAGATTTGTTTTATAAAGAGTTAATTGTTTCTATTCATACACATTTGTGGAGAAAGATGCAAAACCTTCCTGTGATTGGTGATGTACTTTTATTATAGGCTCAGCAAAACAGTCCTTCTTCTACGGGTTCTGGCAATACAGAACATTCTTGCAGCTCCCAAAAACAGATCTCCATCCAGCACAGACAGACCCAGGTAGGTTGGGGACCAATACATTGCAGAGTTATACTTAGGAGTAGACCTAACCAAATAGAAAGTCTGTAATGTAATTCTTTCTTGGTCTTCCCTTTACCTTTGACTGTACCCCCTTGTGTAGTAACTTCAGAATTTGTATTATGACCATTTCAGGTTCTTTGAAAGGCGTTTTAACAGGCCTTTCTTCACCTTTCAGGTCTTTTGTAGCAGGCATGCTTGTACTGCAGCATGGAGTGGAGACAAGAGCACACATTTTGAAGATTTCTGGGCCTAGGTTTAAATTCTGGCTCTACTGTTTACATTTAATATAATGTAAAATTAGCATGATTCCAGTCACCTCATGCAGTGGTGATAGTGGGCTTTCAATAAATGTTAATTTCCTACTTTAAGAAAGTAGTTTATTTCCTCAACTTGTTTACTCGGCAAAATGTGTCATACCAACAAAATTTCTTCCTTAAACAGTCTTTAGAAATTTTCTAACTTAGACTGTTGTAAACATTAGCAAATGTGTCTGAGAGCTTTTCCTGTGGCTGTAAATCCCAGCAATGAGAAGACTAAGTAAGGCAGGAGGATCTTGGTTTCAAGGCCAGCTCAGGCTGTCCAAAGAAAAGAAAGGTAAAGAAAAAGAAAAAAAGGTTATATTTGAAAAGAATAGTAGATCTTTGTTCCAACTATTGTGCTAAGTTAGTTTATTGGGTGTTCTTGTCTGTCCCCTGAACCCAGGATGCTTGTCAATCAAGAACTGCATGACAGATCTTAATTTTTTTGGAACCACCGGTGTTTGGACATTGAAGAGACCTAGATAGTTGAGCGCACAGTTTTCTGCCTTTCTACTTTCTGTCTGTTTCCACTAGGGGGCACATTTGTTGTTCCTAGGGACTTGTGTCCTGTCTCTGGAAGTCACTTTCTAGTCAAAGCTGGTTTCAATTCTATGGTGTCATATATATTTTTATTCAGTGTTCATTATTGTAAGAATTTGTGTAGTTAATTCCAGAACTAATGTTTTTACAGTACAGGTTAGTGGATGTTGCTGAGGTTTGGGATGAGTAAAGCAGATTTAATTTCCTGAGTTAGCTATCCAGCTTTTCATGTTAGCAAGTGCTGCTTAAAACAACAACAACAACAAAAAAAAAAACCACGAAAAATGTGATGGCATATAATGTTTTGTGACTAATTCTAAATTTGTTTGCTTTTGTCTTTGTAGTCTGACCTCACAATAGAAAAAATATCTGCACTAGAAAACAGTAAGAACTCTGACTTAGAGAAGAAGGAAGGAAGAATAGATGATTTGTTAAGAGTAAGTATGGGAGTATTAAGAGACTCTGTAACAAGCACCACTTCTGCATATTTGGATCATGTGCATATTGTGGATAATTACTACAGCCAGATAACACAGTAAACAGCGAGTGCCTGAGGAGGAACTAGAATCATATCCTCATTCCAAATACCTTCAACTTGGAGAATTTATGATGTAGTGTTTTGATTCTTTAATTTATGTTAGAGAAGCAGGTATGTGGAGTTGTAGTTCATGTAGAACTATTGGATTAAATGTCACGTTTTTATCATTTGAAAATACTCATTTTTAAATACTTAGTTTCTTTCCCCCTTTTTTTCTTTTTCTTTCTTTTGAGACATAGTCTTTCTTTGTAGCTTGGCTGGCCTAGAACTCAATATCTAGATTAAGCTGACCTTGAGCTCTCAATGATCTGTCGTCTGTCTCTGCTTCTGACCCCTATGAGTGTTGAATTTAAAGTGTGCAGCATCACACTTAGCTTTTGTTGTTGTTAAATGAGTGTGTGTGTGTGTGTGTGTGTGTGTGTGTGTGTGTGTCTGTCTGTCTGTCTGTCTATCTGTCTATCTGTCTATCTGTCTATCTGTCTCTGTCTGTCTGTCTAAACTTGTGTGAATGTATTTGCACCACTTATGTGCAGGAGACCATGAAGGTCAGGAGAGGGCATTGGGTCACCTAGAACTAGAGGCAGTTAGTGAACCTCTATGTGGGTGCTGGGTATTTAATCTGGGTCTTCTGCAAAAGCAGTGAGTGCTTTTAATTGGAGAGCCATCTCTCCAGTCTATGCTTGCATGTTAAAAACCTGCTTTCACATGGGCCATTCAGCTCATTGTGGATCTTTGACTTTCTACACTGTGTGTGTGTGTGCATGTGTGCACACACGTGCCATGCGTGTACAGGACTTAGTCACTGTGTAGCCTAGACTGGCCTTCAGTTTATAATCCTGCTGCTACCTGAGTGCTAAAATAATAAGCCAGTATCACCATGCCTAGCATCCTAGGATTATATATGCATATTTGCTTTTCTTTTCTTTCCCTCTTGTCCACTTTTCCTTGATTCAGGATATAATCATTTTTACTTGTTTTTAATTTTTTTTCAACTTTTACGTGTGGGTGTTTTGCCTGCATGTATGTATTAGCTCCACATATGTGCCTGATGCCCTTTGAGGCCAGAAGAAGGCATTGGATCCCCTGAAACTGGAGTTACAAATGATTGTGAGCTGCCATGTGGTTGCTGGTAATCAAACCTGGATCCTCTCCAAGAGCTCTTAACTGCTGAGCCATTTCTTTCACCTTTAGTTTTACTTTTTTAAAAACAAGGAGGGTCTCATGTATCCCATGTGGCCATCTGTTACTTAAAAAAAAGAAAAAAAAAGTATTTATTTTGTGTATGTACTTTTGTGCCTTGGTCTGCGCATAGAGGTCAGAGCACAGCCTTCAGGAATTATCTTCCCTTCCGTGTGAGTTCCAGAGATTGAATGAACTCAGGTCTGCAGGTTTGGCATTACGAGCCTTAACCCACTCAACCATCCTGCAAGTAGTTGTTACTCTTAAAAATTTGGTTCTTGGCTTTTGGTTTTTTGAGATAGCGTTTCTCTGTATAGCCCTGGCTTTTCCCGAAATTCACTCTATAGACCAGGCTGGCCTTGAACTCACAGAGATCCACCTGCTTCTGCTTCTTGAGTACAAGGGTTAAATTTAGGCATGCACCACTACCACCAGGCAAAAAAAATTTAATTTTGACAGGATTCAGAAATTGAAGACCTAGTGAGGACAGCTGTGTCTCTTAGCAATCTGTTCCTAGAAGTTTTCTTTGGCTTCTTTCATTCTCTTAGCCAAAAAGTTTAGCATATTCTGCATCCTCTTATTTTTCTCAATACATTGTTCTTCAGAGCAATATGCTGGTATGTATGTTGCAGGACACTTAGGAAACCAAGACACTGAATCTTGGGTACTTTGGTCCTGGGCTTCCTACCTTCTCTGTTTAAAGACTTTTCAAACAACATATTAGCAAACATCATCTTCTTGACAGATACAGAATATTTGTAGACTTTGCTAGATCATTTGAGCCCTAGAAGGAGACAAGACAGTGCCTGTCAATCCCACAAAATATATCTGTTCTTTTGATGATGATGAAGAAGAAGAAGGAAGAGGAGGAGGAGAACACTCAGATTGGCATCTGCAGAACAACCCAAGAAGATTTGTACTTTCTCTCTTCAGTTCTCCCTTTTCTATAACAGAAATACCCCTTACTTAATAGAAGGCACACTTGACCATAGGGCAAAATGCCCTGCTCTGTAGGAATATCTGCGCTGTTCCCAGTGTTACCCTGAACTATGTAACCCTTCCATTCTTTCCCCACAGCTTCTTGGCCACACACTTACATAAAGTGTGGGATGTTTGTCCATTTACTTCAGTGTATGTCTGGGAGACACCCAGCTTCATCTTGAGGAAGCTCAGAATGTACTTTATGCAATTTGTCATCACTGATCCAATTTTTTTTTTTTTCAGTTGAATAATTGTCCCTTCTTAGTGCTGGGATTAATGGTGTGTGTCACCACGCTCATTATTTTCTACATTTTCAAACTGATGGTTCCATTCCTTGTTCAGAATTACATTCCTTAGCCCCCCCCCCCCTTGTTAAGTTTCCCTATATTTGAAGGAAAAGAGCCATTTATTCTTGTATTTTGTTTTTGTTTTTCAAGACATGGTTTTTCTGTGTAACTTTGGAGCCTGTACTGGAATGCTCTCTGTGGATCACAGAGATCCACCTGCCTCTGCCTCCTGAGTGCTTGGATTAAAGGCATGTACCACCACTGCCCAGCAAGAGCCATTTATTCTTAATAACAATCTTTATTCATTTTGATTGTTGATTTGAAATACTTTGTGTTTGTTTGTGGTGTCTGAGTGTATTGTATGCACATGTGAGGCAGGGAACAGGCTCATGTGTGCTTATTGTATGAGAGAGAATTCCTCCCCACCCCCCCACCTCCCGTAGACCTAGGCTGATGGTCAGAAACCCCAGTGATCTTCCTCTGCCCCTCACAGTGCTAATGTCCACAGCCTGTCTGGGTTTTAATGTGGGTGTTAGGATTTGAACTCAGGTCCTCATGCTTACACAACAAGCACTCTTACTCGCCAAAGCATCTTCCCATCCCCCTGGGATTAGTTTTGTTTTTGTCCACTTGGGCACTAGTTGAATTGCCAACTAAAAATTTATAGTGAGATTGTCTGTGTAAAAAAAATCCTTACTCAAACTCCAGTATCTATTAGGATTTTGTTCAGAGTAGCTTTGTTGGACTCAACAAGGATTATGGTTTTACTTCCCCTCTTCATAGCCTGACGTTTGTCAAGATGATGGGTTTAGGGGTGTAGCTCATTTTCTACACGATACTCACCATTGAGATGGGGAAAAGTGTTGGAGAAAGACCCAGATTGAGATGGTGTAATATGTGAAAAACTTAAGTTGGAACTTGGTTTCACTTCTTGGGTGCTTCACCATCCTCTACTCCCATTGTCCTTTTCTTTCACTAGAGTCCCTGCTTGTCTTCTTCTGTGGATTGAACTCAGGGTCTCTTCTAGTTCCCTTTCTGTTGTTATAAAACAATTTGACCGAAAACAAAGGAGGAAAACAATGATTTTCCTTATATTCCCAGGTCACTCTAGCATTGAGGGAGTCAGGACAGAAACTTGAAGCAAAACCATAAAGAAATGCTGCTTGCTGGTTCATTGGCACATGGTTAGTTATCCTTCTTGCACAGTTCAGGACCATCTGCATAGGATGGGCTGGGTCTCCTACATCAAGACAGTAGTCAGCCATAGACATGCCTACAGGCCAATCTGATCTAGGCAATGTCTCAGTCAAATTGTTGTCTTTCAGATCCAGAACTGGGGCTCATCCATGCTGAGCATACATGGTCTACCACTGATCTGCATCCCTAAGCTTACCTCCTCCCTGCAAACGCAGCTGCCGTTTTTCTTCAAATAGACTAGAACTTGTAGACGTGATTGACCCTACCCCTTTTCCTTTCATTGCCTTAGAGCTCAAGCTAGCCTCTAACTCATCCTTCTGCCTCAGCCTCTTAAGTGCTGAGGTTACAGGCATATGCCTGGCAGAATTTGTGTTTTTATGCTGGAGAATGCTGAGGGGTGAAGTCACAGTTTTTTGGTTTTGTTTGTTTGTTTGTTTGTTTGTTTTTAATTTCCTTTCAGGCAAGCATAAGTTCATCATTGAGTTTTCCCATTTTAGTGAGATGTTGGGTGTGACTGCATTGTGTATTGTCAGCCAGCTCCTACCCATAGTATGGACTCCTAGAAATGATTAATGTTAGAAACCACACTTTAAATTGCCAGAGACTGATTCTGTTCATTTCTCCAGAGACTTGGAGAGAATGCTCTCATTCCAGAAGTATGTTAGATTTTATATACACACTACTTAGTGTTTTGCTTATAGGTTCTTTAGTATGAATTAGATAGTCACACTTCCTTTCCCCAAGTGCAGTAAGACTTTTCCTTTGAAAACATGGTCTATAGGATTCTGCAATAACAGTTCATATGAATAATTATGCCTGTGTAGAGAGTAGATACATTTGGAAAAGGAAGCTGTTTCACACAGACTGCTTTAAAAATGAAGCTGAGCTGGAAGAGGCACATGTCTTTAATCTCTTCGATTGGGAGGCAGAGATTTCTGAGAGTTCAAGGCTGTCTGGGTCTATAATAGTTCCAGTACATCCTATGTGGTGAGCTCCTATCTTAAACAAAACAACAGAAGACAATGGAGAGATGGCTCAGTGATTAAGCACAATTGCTATTCTTTTAGAGGACCCAGGTTTGCTTCCTGGCATCTACATGGTAGCTCACAAGCATCTGTAACTCCAGTTCCAGGGAATTCAATGCCCTCTTCTGGTCTCAGAAGGCATGCACATGGTACATATACATACATACATACATACATACATACATACATACATACATACATACATACATTTAAAGCTGAGATGTCTCAGCAAATTTCGTTTTTTTAAAAAGGCTTAAATCATTTAGTTGATAAACAATAGATTCCCCCCACCATTCAAGGAAATGTTATTTGGCAAGAGTAAAGGCTTTTTTTTTTTTTAAACAACTGAGGGATAAGTTCAGGAATTACAAAACTAGATTTGACCTTGAGTTAGTGGTTCTTCCCTTCTCTGTTATTTTAGGAGCCTTGAATTTTTCAAAGTATCTAACCCATCTTGTAGACTTCTGACCACAGCTAAATTAACTATGCACTTACGTTCTCAGATTCTTGAAGCAAGGATCTTATTTCTGTCTAGTATGGGCATAGATGGCCTGGCTTCTGGGGAGAATCATCCGTGAGGACTCAGGTTCCTTTTTCTTTAGAAATAAGCCAAGGATATAGCTCCTTGGTAAGCTCATGCTTAGCGTACTTACTCAAGAGCTTGGATTGGATCCATTGCACTACCGAAAGAACTTCTAAGTTGAAAACAGTAACTTTAACATAAACAACACTCATGGTAATCTAAAGGAGGATTTAAAGGGGTGAATTATTTCCTTTTCTCCTCCTAGAAAGTACTTTCTACTAATTTATCTTCCTTAAAACTAACTGAAAAATGTTTTCCCATTGAAGGCCAACTGTGATTTGAGACGGCAGATAGATGAACAGCAGAAGATGCTAGAGAAATACAAGGAGCGATTAAACAGATGTGTCACCATGAGCAAGAAGCTTCTTATAGAAAAGGTTAGTGATAATGTAGCCTGAAGTCTGTATTCTAAGGTATTTAACATATGTCATTGTATAACACCTTAATTGAGATGAAAATATTGAAATGTAGAATTTCTGAGAAATAAAGTTCTTGTGACTTGACAGTTAGACAAGTGTTGCCTTGCATGTACATCAGACCAAGATGCCCCAGGACATGCTTTCTGGCTGTTGATTGCCTGGAATGTGGAGTTGACAGCTTGTCCCTGTCGAGTTTATTTCAGGTGGTGGATGTCTCTCCTGTCCCTTCTTCTTTCTCCCCTCCCTTCCCTTTTCTCCCTTTTTGAGATGGTATGTGATTTACCAACAATGCTTTCCTTGATAATCCTATAATTTTCAGTTTGTAAAAATTGCTAATTAAGGGCTGGAGAGATGGCTCAGAGATTAAGAGCACTGACTGCTCTTCCAGAGGTCCTGAGTTCAATTCCCAGCAACCACATGGTGGCTCACAACCATCCGTTATGAGATCTGGTGCCCTCTTCTGGTGTGCAGATATACATGGAAGCAGAATGTTGTATACATAATAAACAAATAAGTAAAAAAAAGAATTTTTTTTAAATTGCTAATTAAAGTGTTATTCTTTGTTTTGGTCCTTTTACCTTCAGTCAAAACAAGAGAAGATGGCATGCAGAGATAAGAGCATGCAGGACCGACTGCGATTGGGCCACTTTACTACTGTCCGGCATGGCGCCTCTTTTACTGAACAGTGGACAGATGGCTATGCCTTCCAAAACCTCATCAAGTAAGTCAACTGCCAGGGTTGAATAGGGAATTTTTAAAGGTATTTGGATTTCTAAAGTTTTCTAATTATAGTCAGTAAAGAAAGGTAGGATCGGGCCTGGAGAGGTGACATAGGGTTCAAGAGCACTGGCTGCTTTTCCAGAGGTCCTGAGTTCAGTTCCAGTGTGTGTGTGTGTGTGTGTGGTTGTGTATCTATAATATTACCTTAACTATTTATTTGATTCGTTAGATTAGTTTCATCTAAGACTGGAAGGTAGATAGAGACATTGTGTTTTTATTAGTAATATATTTATTGCCTGTACTTAGGATCAAAAGTAGGGCCTCATGCATGGTAGGCAAGCACTTTTCCATTGAGCTAAATCAACTGTATGTTTTTTTGTTGTTGTTGTTGTTGTTGCTTTTCTCTTCAAGACAGGGTTTCTCTGTATAATAGCCCTAGCTGTCCTGGAATTAGCTCTGTAGACCAGGCTGGTCTCAAACTCACAGTGATCTGCCTGCCTGCCTGCCTCTGCCTTGTTAGTGTTAATGAAGTATAAGTAAGTTTGATCCCTGAAAGAAACCTACAAATATTTATGCTATGTATAATAAATACTTCATTAAAACTGACTTGAATTGTGCCGCACATCTTTAATCCCAGCACTCAGGAGGCAGAGGCAGGCGGATCTCTGTGAGTTCGAGGCCAGCCTGCTCTCCAGAGCAAGTGCCAGGATAGGCTCTAAAGCTACACAGAGAAACCCTATCTCGAAAAACAAAAACAAAAACAACAACAACAAAAACTAACTTGAATTATACATTAGTAGTTGTTGTTTTGTATATGAAGCATCAACCTCAAACTTAGTTCAAGTGTGTTACTGCTTCAAAAATGTACCAAATGTAGGGGGGAGGGGTTGTTATAGAAGAGTTTCTGTCCTGCTTGGTCCTATAGTCATTCAATCCCAAATAAATACACAGAGGATTATATTAATTATAAACTGTTTGGCCAATGGTTCAGGCTTCTTATTGGCTAGCTCTCTCCTAATTATTAAGCCATTTCTATTATTAAACTATGTATCTCCATGTAGTCTTGGCTCACCGGCGAATGCCAGGACCTGCTACTGCTTCGGCAGCTACATGGCATCTCTCTGGTGGCTTCTCCTCGTCTTCTCCCCAAAGTTCTCCTCATCTGGTAGCCCCACCTATACTTCCTGCCTGACTACTGGCCAATCAGTGTTTTATTCATCAACCAATAAGAGAAATGTTTATACAGAAGGACATCCCCCATCAGTTTGTTTATTTTAATAAGAAGAGGCTGTCAAGTCAGAGAATATCCTGAAAGTAAAGCATACTTGTGCATCATACCTGGTACCAGAGGTTCAGGGTCATCTTCTCTATGATCTAGGCATAACTGGGTAGCTCTAGTACTCTAAGGAAGTTCCACCAAGTCTTGCCATCCCATGGCACCTTGACCAAGAAGAGCAATTGCTGGCTCAACATTCATGAGTAGGGAGTCAGATGATATTGCTACTCATATCTCCTTTAGTAGCCGAAGTTTAGTATAATGTGCTTATATTGAATCTCAGGTAGGATAGTTGCTCCTACTGGTCTTTGACAATAGCTACTTCTTAGATGGTAGTCATTTGACTCAAAAAATTGGTGGGCATATATAAGGAAATGAAATAAATTTTGTTTTAAGAAAGAAATTCAGCTTTTGCTGATAGCATTTTGCTGAGTAAGCAACCTAATGCCTAGAAGGTCCTGAAAATTTTTTATTGCACCAGAGTATAACAGTGATGATGTACCTTTAATCACAGTACTTGGAGGCTCTGAGGGAAGAGAATTGCTCTATGGCAATACATTGTCCAAAAAGAAAGAAATGTAAACTGGGCCTGGAACTTGCTCTGTAAACCAGGCTGGCCTCGAACTCACAGAGATCTGCCTGCCAACTCCCAAGTCCTGGCATTAAAGGCGTGCCCTACCACTGCCCAGCCTGAAAATTTGTTTTTTCAACTACATTGCTTACTAGTTATTTATAGTCTGGTTGGGTCTGGAATGCACTTTGCTATTGAAGGAACTAGTTAGTGTTCAAAATATCAAGCTTTGTGGTTTAAAATGGCAGTGGGTCCAAGATCTAACTCTAATGCCCAAACTGACTTTGTGGAGCCCATTCTATATGGGGGGAGGGGAAAGGGCCTTGGTCCTCCCTCAATGAGATGATGGGACAGACTTAGTAGACTTCCTAGGGGAGGCCTTAGTCTCTCTGAGAAGCAGATGGGAGATGGGATGGGGGAAAGTAGGGGGAGTGGTAAGGGAGAAGGGAAGGGGGGAACTGGGATTGGAATGTAAAAAATAAATAAATAAATTCTTTAAAAAAGAGAGAGAGAGAAATTTGTTTTCTCATAGTTCAGGAGGCAAGAAAGTCTGTAGCAGAGCTCCAGAGATCAGTTATCCTTGACCTCTCCCAGGTTTAGGTGTTCCAGGACTGGTTTGTGGCTTATAGCTTTAGATTGTAACTGTCATCACATGGGATACTCCTGATGTGGCTCTGTTTGCTTTCCCCCTGTAACTGCCCTCAGTCATTGGATTTAAGGCTCATTATGCTAGCATGACTTCTTAACTAATGCAGTGACCCTATTTCCAGATAGTTTCTAGAGTTATCTGTTACATTTCTCATTCCTGTGACCAAATACCTAACAAGTAGCAACTTGAAGATTCATTGTTAGTTCCCTGTTGAGAGGGTATATTGTTCATGGTGATAGGGAAGGCATGGCCACTGAAGTAGCTGGGTCCTTGGCAGTGGGGCTGGGGGTGGGAATGTGGATGGGAGAGGTGTAATACATTAGAGGAGGAGATGAATACATTAAAAATAGTAGGTATGGGGCTGGAGAGATGGCTTAGCAGTTAAGAGCACTGGCTGCTCGCCCAGAGGAGCCAGGTTCAATTCCTAGCATCTACATGGCAGCTCATAACTGTCTTAACTCCAGTTCCAGGGGAGCTGACACCCTCACACCAATGCACATAAAATAAAGTTAAACATATTTTAAAAAATAGTTTGCAACATACGTTTCCTATTATAAGACATATTACAATTTATTGTTGGTTTTGTATTCCCAAAGTAAATCTAAATGAAGACATTGCTTAAATGACCTTATTATTCATATGCACAGCTGAACAGTTTCAAGAACCTCCAAGGGTTGATAGCAGAATATGACACTGATTGTTGGTGTATCTGCTTTCATGCCTAGGCAAGAGTTCTCACAATATGTAGTCTACAATTTCTCCAAATGTGTTTTGGAATCTATGTACCCTGTGTTTTTAGTATATGTATGTATAGATCGTCAGATAAATACGTGGTCATAAGCCTCTTTTGTTGAGTCTGAAGAGATTAAATGTATGCACTCATAATACTGTATTCTTTAAAGGCATAATGTAGCACTCCACTTGGCCACTCTACTCTATAGTTTCAGCATTAGGTTGTATGGTAATTGCCAGAGTTAACTTGAGACACTCACGGCTTCTGAGAGGGTGGGCATTTCATACCAACTTTTCCTAATTAAATGCCGATTTATTTTCTAAGCTACTAAGAGGTAATCTGAAGGTTGTTCCTTTCAAGTCTATAAGAGCCTAACAGATACTTACCCACTTTCCCTCACCATTAAGTCATAACTAGTACTCATTCCAAAAACACTCTCCCTGACCCTGAAGGCTAACTACAGACCTCTTGTCCACGAAGTCGTCAGACATGCAGGTGAAAGTTGTTTGTATTCATTCCACAGCAATGACAACTAAATTATTTGCCTTTTCTGTGCCATATCTTTTATATTTCTAGGCAACAAGAAAGGATAAATTCACAGAGAGAAGAGATAGAAAGACAACGGAAAATGTTAGCAAAACGGAAACCCCCTGCCATGGGTCAGGCTCCTCCAGCAACCAATGAACAGAAACAACGGAAAAGCAAGACCAACGGAGCTGAAAATGAAACGTATGTTCTTGATGAAGTAAAATGAAATGCTTCTTACCCCTGATGTCTTGTTGAATGCCCTGGAAACACCTATAAATCAAAGAGGCCCCTGGAATTTGAAGATTTATTTTTCTAGACATGTTAATGGATTCTTTCAACTCATATTAAAAGCTATGTAAAATACATTAGCTGATTTTCTTAGCCATGCTCTTCATTCAGAAAGTGAGAAATGAGAAAGTACTGTTACTTATGGACAGCATATATTTTATTTTGCCTGTTTATAATAAATATATCATTATTTTCGCTTATGTGTAGCTATAGGTTAGGATATATTGGTATCATTTTATGGAAATCAGTATTATCTTACGGAGTTTATCTGGCTAATATTTTAGAATGCTCTTTACTGGTTAAAAGAGTACTTAGTCAACACAAGCTTAGGAGTAAGCCAAGAGGGACTGGAGATGACTCTGTGCTGAGCACTGGTTGCTCTTGTAGAGGACCAGGGTTCAATTCCCATCTCCCATATGGCAGCTAACTACTGTCTGTAACTCCAGTTCCAGGAAATCTGGTGCCCTCTTCTTACTTCCAAGCACACCAGGCATGTATATACTGCATAGACATACATGTAGTTAAAACACCTATACGTGTAAATAAAAAAAAAAAAAAAAAGGTAAGCCAAGAATAAAGTAGCTGTTTTTTAGGAAGAGAATATTTCATGATAAGACCATTCTTGACCTCATAAGCATTCCTCACTCCCTTACCCCCATGACCCCACACCCCACTCTGGAAACCTAAGAAACCACTAATACAACAGTTTTCAACCTGTGGGTCTTGACCCCTTTGGGGTCACTTAAGACCATCAGAAAACACAGATATTTATGTTACAGTTCATAATAGTAGCAAAGTTACAGTTATGAAGTAGCAATGAAAATAATTTTATGGTTGGAGGTCACCACAACATGAAGAACTATATTAAAGGACCGCAGCATTAGGAAGTGCTCTAGTATCTTGAAATACGGTCATCTTTTTTCTGTCAGTCAACACGCCTCAGCCGTGTTTTATCTTTTTAATGTTTGTCAGTACACAGAAACACATTATCTTGTAATCTCTGTAAGTATGCTATTTCCATTACTGTTATATTAAAAATTCAGGAACTGCATCTTTTGTTTCAATGAGACAGATGCTTAACCAGTCCTCACCCCATGTTAGGAAATCTACCTTTGACATGTACAGAGCTTGAAGGATGCAACCCCAGTTTTATATGTTCATAGTTTATATAGCAGAGATGAACATCTGAATAAGCCAAAATTGACTTAAGTATAGTGATAAAAAGTTTCCACAGTAAACTAAGTTTGAGAAACACTTGTTGGTATAGTAGAGTATTTTTAAAAGTAGAATACTTTGTATCAAAAAGTCCAAACATTAGATTTAAAGCTTCTCTAGACAACTCAAGTCATTGTTTCCTTTCTTGAGTCCTGTGGTTATTTGCATTGGGGTCTACCCTCCAGTATTACTTGAAAATTACTTAATGCTGGTGCCCGAAACCATTGGCTTAAGAAGGATAAAAAGGTGTGGAGTGTGGGTGCATGCATGCCACGAATACGATATGCCACAGAACAATAATTAGAATTTAATCTAGACCAGGAGTGTGTTCATGAGTGGTTACCATCTGCAGTGTTGTGTAAAAGCCAAGCTGGAAGGCTTTCAGTCCACTTTGTAATTAGAGTGTCTATGACTTGGCTCTTTCCTCTGACCAGAAGCCAAAAACAGGCCTCTAGAGTGAGTCACGTTATCCCTTCTGATAAAGGCATGGAGAATCCCTCCCTCCCTCCCTCCCTCCCTTCCTCCCTCCAGCCCTAGAAAATTTGTTATTACTTTTTTACTCTTGTAGTTAAATCTCAGAGGCCCTGTTTTGTGGCTCTTTATGCTAGAATGATAGCTGTGTCCTTTGTCCTGGTAATTTAGTATGCATATAAATAGTGAAACTTCAATCTTTGAAGTAGATGAATGTGAGGGGGGTAGAAATGGAGAAAATTTACTTTTTTTTTAATTCTTAGGATACAGGATATATGCTTGGAGTAGGTGGAACTATCAATGAGTGCTTGCCCATCAAGTCAGACCTTTCTTTGTTCTTTTTTACATTCTCATTAAATAGTTAAAACATTTTTTTAGGTAGATATTTTGACTTATGTAATATGTCACTAAATATTTCATAAGTAATGTAAAGATATGGCTTATGTGTTTTTCCTTCCTCAAATTAAACTTAAGGGTTTTGAGTCTTCTTTACATCTCATCTGAAATTACTAGTTTCCTTTTGATAGGAGGTCTTAAAATAACCTGGCTTTTAGTCATACTAAACATGAAAACCACATTTGCTGTAGTAGCATACTTTGAGTATTTCTGTTTATAAGCATGTTATTACGTCACATAATTTACTGAAATTGCTACCATTGTTTTTTCAGGTTAACCTTAGCAGAATACCATGAACAAGAAGAAATCTTCAAACTCAGATTAGGTCATCTTAAGAAAGTAAGTATTTTGGGAAAATGTTTTTTCTTTCTTTTGGTTTTTCGAGACAGGGTTTCTCTGTGGCTTTGGAGGCTGTCCTGGAACTAGCTCTTGTAGACCAGGCTGGTCTTGAACTCACAGAGATCTGCCTGCCTCTGCCTCCCAAGTGCTAGAATTAAAGGCGTGCACCACCACCGCCCGGCAGGAAAATGTTTTTCAAGAGATGTAATTTCCACTTTACATTTGATACAGAAATGATTGGACAAATATAATCACAGCTTTGCATTGTGCAGGAATCCTGCATTGCTACTGTCACGTTCATGCCTTATATACAGTAGGATTTTTATTTTCAAGCCAATGCAAGCCCCTAAGTGAGAGTGTATTTTACCCCAGTGACCTATCTGTAGAAAATGTGTCAAATTTATAGAGCTACCCAGGTGACTGTCTTTAAAGCATAATATACAGGACTAATATGTCTGAAATTGATGGTAGGACTCCTGTGCTAGTTTGAGTATAATTTAGCAGCTCTTTTTGTTTGTTTGTTTGTTTGTTTGTTTTGTTGGTGGTGGTTTGTTTTGTTTTGAGATAGGGTTTTTCTGTAGCTTTGCAGCCTGTCCTGGAACTCTCTCTCTGTCAACCAGGCTGGCCTCAATCTCAGAGATCTGCCTGCCTCTGCCTCCTGAGTCTTGAAATTAAAGGCATGTACCACCACTGCTCAGCTCAGCTCTTATTTCTTACCTAAAATAACTAAAGAGAATATATTGTACCATCCATATTCTAACCCCTAAAAAATTTGTTGGTGATAGTCATTGAGATATCTTTTTATTGAGGGTCAGAGATACGGTGTCTGTTCTTGGTTTTTTTTTTTTTGTTTTTTTTGTTGTTTTTTTGAGACAGTCTTGTTACACAGCTCAGCCTGGCCTTGAACTCAGGATCCTCCTGTCTCAACATTCTAACTTCTGGGATTACAGGAGTGTGGCAGTGTACCTTGCTTATCATTTTCATGTGTGTGGTGTGGAGTGGGGTTTTGTTGTTGTTGTGTTGGCGTACTTGCCTGTCTCTGTGTGTGCTCATGGGCATGACTCCAAAGTTAAGAATGCTAGACAAGTAAGTGCTTGACCATAGATTTAACATCTCTAGCCCCAAATATCATAAATGTAGAATGTAGCTTTTTTATAAAGCTCTTACATTGAGCAGCCTAGGTGGTAGAGAAACAGCTTAGTTGTTAAGAGAGCTTGCTGCTCATTTAGAGGATCCGAACTTGGTTTCCAGCATGTCTGGCTACTCATACTGTCTGTAACTTCAATCCCAAAGATACGACATCCTCTCCTATCCCCTGCTGTCCCCTGCATACATATGGCATGCACATAGAAACACATACACATAAATAAGAAATAGAACCCTAAAAATTTCAGCCATCTATACATTACTGGTGGATGGTATTTATGATGATGGTGGTCAATAAACATCTAATAAATTGTTGCTGGTGTTGCCTTTTTATGTGACATTACTTTTTTTATAACACACACACACACACACACACACACACACGATTTCTTAGATGTTAAATTAGTGGAATTTAAGGTATCAAATGTAATATAAACCAAAAGTAAAGAATCGGACAACAAACCAGGATTTTGTAAGGTTTTTGCAAAGCTTGTATGTATGTGCATAAAATATTATTCTTGGAAAGTTACCAGCTGTTACATCTGAGGTGTGGATGATGGAATAGCAGTTTGACTAATCTTTTCAATGCAAAGTGTCTTCTATTTGTTTTTTACAAGTGAAATAGATGTCATTATTTTTAAATGGAAAGGTAAAGTTTGCTGGATTCTGAGCTTTTTTTCCTCCCTTCCCCCTTTTCAGGAAGAAGCAGAAATCCAGGCAGAGCTGGAAAGGCTAGAAAGGGTTAGAAATCTACATATCAGGGAATTAAAAAGGATACATAATGAAGATAATTCACAGTAAGCAACTTGGGGTATAATGGGCTGGAGATTGCTGAAAATTTTATGACATGTCTAAAACAATATTTTCACTTACAAATTTGCCAAATGAATGTAAAGTATATGTAGTTCCTTTTTAGGTTATAATTTTATGAACAAAATTATAATCTTTGTATTAAAAAGTAAGTTTATATATCTGTATATACAGCACTTTACATGATTAGCGTTTACACAGTATAGCTTGGCAGCTGTAAGTATGTATGGGGTATGGCAGATAGATCTAGCCAAAGAGCCTTGAAAAGTGGAAGCATTGGCCACAGTGGTGCTGTAGAAAGATGAGAGCACATTCATTTTCTGAGTAAGTAAAATTAGTACAACATTAATTATAAATTCACACTCACCTTTGTTTATAAGCCTAAAATTCAGGAGAAGTAGCTTACAAGTGGGAAATGGCTTTTATCACTGATTAGATCTTTCCTTGTGTATTGTTGAGTCTGTAACATTTTTTTCATGTAGCTACAGCTTGAATATTTTTGTTTGACCATGTGAACCATGACCATTATTCTGTCAAGTGGGAGGTACCAGCACTTACCATTTACTTTGACCTTTATCAGAAAGGAATGAATCAAAAGTGCCCTTTTGATCTCATACTTAATCTTCATGGCAATCCCATAATCTCTCTTACATCCATCAATCAGGAAACAAGTTAAAGAAATGAAGTCAATGACTAGAAGTCCAAATCAAGAGTCATTTAAATCTACTTAATTTAAACTTCCATGACATAATATTATCTCTCCCCCACAGGCACACTCCTTACTTAACTTCAAAGTAAAGGAATTTCAGGATTAGTAGGGAGACTTTAAGATTTTTTTTTTTTAAAGTACTGGGGTTGAAGTGAAGTGTAAGTTTGAAATTTGCCTTATGCAAAGTAGGCGTGCAGTCTACTACAAGCTATATCCTTGTCTTGTTTTGAGATAGTGTCTCACTATATAGCCCTGGCTGGCCTTGAGCTTTCTTTCCTTTTCCCTCTGCCTCCAAAGCACTGGGATTATAGTGCATGCTCTACAGGAAGAATCTTTCTTGGGAATACACTGTGTCCTAGACTTAGATTTACCATAGACTTATCTAATAAAGAGGGAAAAATGAGTTGAGTTGGTTGGATCAGATCTATATGCATTCCAAGCACTTGGGAGGCTAAAGCCAGAGTATACTGAGATCCTGTCTCAAAAGGCAGGCCATGATGGTGCATACTTGTTACTCCAATCTCAGCAGGCTGAGCCAGGAGGATTGGGAGTTCTAGGTCAGAGTATTCCCTGTCTCCAAAAACTCAGTTAGCTGGGTATAGTGGTACACAACTTTAATCCCAGCATTTGGGAGCTAGAGGCAAGTGGATCTCTGTGAGTTCAAAGCCAGCTTGGTTTACATAGTGAGTTCCAGGCCAACTAGAGCTACATAATAAGATGTGTCTCAAATGGAGGGGTCAGGGTAAATTCACATAAAACACATGAAATATTTTACTTTTTAAAGGCAATATAAAAATACCTTGGAAGTTTATATAATTTTAAAATGATGAGAAAAAGAAAGGAGATCAAAAACAGCCCCAAGTTTAGATGTGGCTTCTGACACTAGAACCAGTATCAGGCTATAATAGCTGTTACTGTTTGTTATAATTGCGCTGAGCTGTGTAACTGTGCTCATAGTTCACTCTACTGGTACCAGTTGTCAAACTCTGAGCAGTGCTTTATAACGAAGCATTTATTGTTGGAGATACTATAGGAATACTGGACTATTGAAGACTATAGTCTTTGACTTCAGGATGTTACAAATTCCATTTCCACAGATTTAAGGATCATCCAACGCTAAATGACAGATACTTGTTGTTACATCTTTTGGGTAGAGGAGGTTTCAGTGAAGTTTACAAGGTAAGTAGAAACAACTGGGTACGAAGAGAGGGTAATCTGATTTGTGAGGTGGGAGTGGGCTTGAGACAGGAGCTCCCTCTATAGCCCAGGCTGGCTTGTAACTCATGTAGCTCTAACATTCACAGCAATTCTCCTGCCTCAGCCTCCTGAGTATTGTGATTCTAGGTATGGGCTACCATGTCTGCTCTTTACTGTTATTAAGCTAGAAAAATTAGATATCTTTAGAATTTTTTTGTAATTTTATTTGTGCGTGCGTGCGTGCGTGCGTGCGTGCATGCGTGCGTGCGTGTATGTGTAGACATGTGTGTGTAGATGTTTGTGGAGTTCAGAGGACTACATGAATAGATTCCTTCTACCTTGAGTCCCCAAGACTGAACTTAGGTTGCCAGGATGGGTGGTAAGCACCTCTACCTACTGGGCCATCTTGCTGGCTTCAAATTGTTCATTTGGAAGCTGGCTTTCTGATTTAGGGAAGACTCATCCCGAGCAGATCTGCATTTTTAAAAGGCTTTCTTCACTTAGTGCTTCCTCAGGCCCTACAAGGAGGGGAGTCAGCCAGTTTTCAATACTCTTCAGCTTCATATCATGTTCACCAACAATTTTCTACATACTTTTTTGCACCTGATTATAAATGTAAAATTGATTTGTTGTGTGATCTTCCAATGTATAACTGTGGAATCTCTTTTCTAAGGTACAGAGATGTGGCCTCTGCTGTTAAGATTTCTGTTTATTTATTCACAAATTTATATGTAAGAAGTCTTCAGAGTAAAACAAATGCCTTTGCTTTAAGAAGAAGCAGTAAAACCTAGTGCTTGTGTTTTTCCTCTTTGTGCAGTCATGGGTCTTCAGCATTGGGCCTTCAATGTGTTTGCAAGCATTCTGTCACTGGGATATATCCCAGGCTGTTTTCTCTTTTTTAAAATGTTAACTTTTTGTTTAAAAACTTTATTTATTGGGGCTGGAGAGATGACCTCTTCCAGAGGTCCTGAGTTCAGTTCTCAACAACCACATGGTGGTTCACAACCATCCTGTATGAGATCTGGTGCCCTCTTCTAGTGTGCAGATATACATGGAAGCAGAATGTTGTATACATACTAAATAAATTAATAAAATATTTTTTAAAAAACTTTATTTAAAAATACATTAATTTGCCGGACGTTGGTGGTGCACACCTTTAATCCCAGCACTCGGGAGGCAGAGGCAGGTGGATCTTTGTGATTTCGAGCCCAGCCTGGTCTACAAGAGCTAGTTCCAGGACAGCCTCCAAAGCCACAGAGAAACCCTGTCTCGAAAAAACCAAAAAAAGAAAAATTAATTTTTCACTTGGGAGGCAGAGGTGGGCAGATCTCTGTGAGTTCAAGGCCAGCCTGGTCTACAGAGCGAGTGCCAGGATAGGCTCCAAAGGTACACACAGAAACTCTGTCTCGAGGAAGAAAAAAAAATTAATTTTTATTTTGTGTATGTGAGTACTTTGCCTGTAAGTTTATATATAATATGTGTGCAATACCAGTGGAGGCCAGAAGAGGGCAACAGATCCCTGGGACTGGAGTTATACATGATTGTGAGCCACCATTTGGGTGTGGAAATCAAGCTTGGGTCCTCTGGAAGAGCAGTCAGTGCTCCTAGGCAATGAGCCATCTCTCCAGCATCTTAACTATTAATTGTTATTAGTTTTTAGAGCCCAGATTAGCTTAGAACTTGTAGTCTTTGCCTCCTGAGTGTTGAGATTACAGGTGTATATGCTAGAACCAGCCTAAATGTTAGGTTTTTATTGTGATGATATATGTATAAAATTTACATTTTTAACTTTGTTTTTTAAGAAAGGGTTTCTCTGTGTAACAGTTCTGGCTGTCCTGGAACTCACTTTGTAGACCAGGCTGACCCCAAACTCACAGAGATCGCCTGCCTCTGCCTCCCTAGTGCTGGGAGTAAAGGTGTGAGCCACCACAACCACCCCCCCCTTTTTTTTAAATCTTGTTTTTAAAACATTTTCACACGTTAGCCCAGACTGGCTCTAAACTCACAGTGTAATTCAGGGTGGCCCCAACTTTTGGCAGTTTTCCTGTCTCAGCCTTCCAAGTATTGCTTTAATTATTTTTAAGTGTATGCATCAGTGGCATTAAGTACACTCACTTAATGTGTATCTGTTACCACTGTGTACCATGGCCGTACCTTTAGACCAGTGCTGATTTGATTTTCAGCCCATTATTCATACTTAGTCATACTTTTAAAGTCTGTACTGGTAAATCTGACTGACAGATCTGTGGTTACCTTTTGTTTGCAAGTAACATAGCTGAGCTTTGATGACATAGTTGTCCTCGCTTCTTAGAAAGGGTTGTGAGCAGGGAGACATAGTTAGCTTGTTGATGGTTTTATGTACCCTTGTGGTAACATTTTGCAAGAAAACTTTTGTCTTGTTTTCTTTTTAAATCAAACATTTAAAAACAGTAGTTAACTGGGGCTGGAGAGATGGCTCAGCGGTTAAGAGCCCTGACTGTTCTTCCAAAGGTCCTGAGTTCAATTCCCAGCAACCACATGGTGGCTCACAACCACCTTGAATGAGATCTGGTGCCCCCTGCTGGCATGCAGGCAGAAGACTGTATACATAAAAAATAAATAAAATCTTAAAAAAAAAGACAGCTTTAAAAAACAAACAAAAAAACAGTAGTTAACTACTACAAAACAGACAGCAGTGCCTTGACCAATGCCTGTTACTAGGCCTGAAGCTTTTACATCCTTTTCAAGGGGCCATGCTAACCTCTCCTTTCATAAACACTATTCCTCCCACAGATGAGTTCTGTTTAGATTTTTCTACCCTTTTTGATAAGCATAATGCTCTCACAGACTAGGTTTTTTAGAGGAAAGGTGTCCTGGTATATTCCTTAGAGTGTGAGAAAAGTATATTTGTTTCCAGGCTATGAAGCAGATACACACACACACACACACACACTCTCTCTCTCTCTCTCTCTCTCTCTTGAGGTATTGCTTTCCTAGAGAAGTGTTGGGGAGACCTGCAGAATGTCTCTGTTCCTAGGGGTATTCTGTTCACCTGTGTCTGTGTGTGCATTTGTGGGAACTTATAGACAAGCATTACTTACCCCATGCTAGTCCTGGCAGCCCTGTCGCTCTTTAGGAAAGCCTTTCCCTGTATGCTACTTTGCTTTTATTTGGTACGTAGATGTGGCACCATATTTAAGGTTGTGATTTTTGCTTTTGTTTTGTTTCGGTTTCTATTTTAGTAAACACAACATACTGAGTTGTTTTCTACTTTGTGAATGATCATACCAATGATCATATCCAGCTGTGTTGTTTTCTATAGGAAGCAATTAGTGTATTTCCCAGGTTTTCAAGAGTAGGGAGACAGTGTTGACACATGTGAGCTCCCCAGGCTAGTGGAGGGTGAGAGACACTTGGTGAGAAAAGTCCTAGATGAGGAGGGATTATGTCCAGAGTGAGCATTGTTGGGAGGAAGTATGAGGGCATGGGTTGGCTTTCTGCTTGTGGTGTCTGCTTAAGTTTGTCTTCTAAATCCCATGGTGCCAGTGTGTCTGGAAACTTCTGAATTATCTAATCACAAGTTTCAAGAAGATGGTTGCAACACTGGAGCAAACATGACGTGTTGTCATTTGCTGCAGCTTTCATTTAATAATGTAGTTTGGACTTTGTGTTGATCTGTTAAATAGAAGCTTCAAGTGCATTCCCTGTGAATTCTTGTTAGTATTTATGTAAATATAATTTCTTCCCTTTTTCTTTTTTTAATAGGCATTTGACCTAACAGAGCAAAGATATGTAGCTGTGAAAATTCACCAGTTAAATAAAAACTGGAGAGATGAGAAAAAGGAGAATTACCACAAGTAAGTGATGCTGAAGTGCTTGATATTTTCCCACACATTGATGATAGCTGTGGTTCTTGCATTGTGAAAGCTTTGGATGAACTGTTGTTGGTTTCCTCTCACCTCCTAACTGTCTCAGCAAAGGAAATATATTCCATGTCTTACCCTTTAGAAAACTTAGAAAACCAAGACCATTAGAGACTAAATTTAAATGCAGCCATCCCTTAATCTGAAGCCCATATTTAAAACTCCCCTTCTATTGTCTCTGAAGATTACACTAAACAAGGTAGGCACCAAAACCCATTGTTTGTCTGTAGAAACTCAGTGAGAATGCCCAGTGGTCTTGGGGAGGAGACAGTGGGGCTAAAAGGATAGAGTCCTGGTGTTCCCCAATGGCTCATGCTTGACCTCAGCCTCTCAGTACATCTCAAAATTCTGTGATTTCAGTGCTTCACTTCCTATGGTTTCCTTTCTTGAGAATGCCAGTAAAGTGGTAGTCCTCATCTATTCTTAGGATTGAGGGTTAAGGGAGTGGTTTCCTTAGATTAAATAGTTACTACATATGCAGCTATGGATTTCTTTGTTCCATTCATGTCAGCTTTGCCATATTCCCCCCTGAGCTTCCAAACACTGGCGTTCATGGCTCATTTGCTTTGGAAGCTTCAGACTTAATTTGCTATTAGGTTCCCTGCTGTGCAGTTTTTGTCTCCTTATGGTAGATAGAAGTATTGAATGAGACAGGTTCTGTCCCTGAAGGAGGCGACAAGTCCCTTTGACAGTAACAAATGCTTCCTGTTATGGAGACAGCCTTGGTATTTAGCTTTTTTTTTTTTCCATCATAAGACTTTGGAAGAGAAAAAAAAAGGGATTGAAGAACCCTTTCAGTTAACTTCTAAATCTTAAAAGGAAAATCAAGTATTTCCTCAACAAACAGTTCTTCATGCCTGGACTGGGATAACTCTTGCTTTAGACCTATTGTACACCAGGGACCTGCTAAGTCTTTCTGTTCCACATTGATTGGTAGCAGAACTCAGCACTGCATCAGTGAAACAGGCTTTAAGCAGAGGTAGGGCAAGGTATGATATATGCCTTGTGCACAACTCCCAATGTGCACAAGCTCACTTGACAAGCAGCTGCAGTCCAGATGTTCCCTAGGAGCCAGATACATTATTAAAAGTGCATTCCAGTCACTTGACATCGGGATGAATGGCATGCAGTAGTGACTGCCAGGAACACTTCAGGGAAGGAAACCACATGTTCTGACCAGTTTTTAATGAAAATTATTCTTGTATTGAGACTTGTGGGAATGGTTAAGAGTGTTGAATCAGGATATGCACCTCTACAGGTTCCTTATAGATACCCTAGGTGCCTGTTCTGTAGCTTACCTATACATTGGCCACTGTAAAATAGTTGGTTCTAGGGACCAATGATGGTCAACCTTGAGAACATAATTTCTCTTCTGGGACTTGTACATATTTTGCCAAATCATAGACTTCAGATCTAGGTTTTAGGCTGACCTTAAGAAAACTGTGATATTGGATACCAGAGTGACTTTGGAAGGTCATTCAGCTTATCTGGCCTTTTGAAATGGGTTAAAGTTAGGTCCTAGACATATTTGGCAAGAAGTTTGAGTCCTGGGGGTTATTGAGGTTTTCTGTTTCAGTTTTAGTTTTATTTCTTTGAGACAAGGTCCCAAAGCAGTTCTCCTGCCTCTGTCTCCTTATGTGCTACCATGCCCAGACAATTGATAGTCTTTCTCTCATCTGTCTACTGAGTGAGGGGCTGGAAAGATGGCTCTGGTTAAGAGCGCTTGCTCTTTCAGAGATCCCGGGTTCAATTCCCAGCATCACACTGGGTAGCTCATAACCAACTGTAACTCCAGTTCCAGGGCATCTGATACTTTCTTGTGGCCTTTACTCGCATGGCCCCACGCCACCCCCAGTGCACAGACTTTCATTCATCCATATAAATAAAAACAAATCAGGGAGAAAGAGATGGACCGACAGACACTGCCTTCTTTGTCTAATCTTTGCTCTTCTAACTAGAGCTGTGTGTGGTCCTTTCTCAGTGTTTCCTCCTTAGGGGGAATAATGGTATCTGAGAGTGTCTGTTAAGCCCTTTGTTAGGGGTCATTCTCAGTTGACATACTGAGGAAGGGGTGTTCTTATGACCTCCAGTTGCTTGAGAGGGACTCTCTCTTCAACACTTCCACCTTTGATTTTACTTAGTGGTAGGAAATCTTGCTTTGGCCCTTATGCTGTAAATAATGGTAAGTTGGGGCTGGAGGGATAGCTCATCAGTTAAGAGCACTTGTTGTTCTTGCAGAGAACCTGTTGAGTACCTAGCACCCATATGGTGGCTCACAACCATCCATAACTCCAGGAAATTTATTTAAAAAAAAAAATAAGTAGGATTAAAAATGCACACCGCCACACCCAATTCTTTTCCTTCTTCTGTAAGCAAAATGTAAACTTGGCATGTCACTCATAAAGTATGAACATGACACATTACGAGGTTTCTTTAATTTGTGTAAGGAGTGTGTGAGGTGGACCTGGGGTGAGGTACATATGTGTATGTACAAGGACACATACACATTCATGTGGGAGATAGCAGTTGACATGGTCATGCCTTGCTGAAGGACAAGCAGTAGCCTGTGAACATGGCAGGCTCATTGTTGGGTTGCTTTTTTATGTACAGGATCTCATTCTGTAGCCAGATGACCTTAAACTCATGCCTCAGCTCCTTGTGTGCTGCTATTACGTCATTCACTATCACACTTGGCTTAGCTGATGAAGACTTTGAATGGCATTTTTCTTTCATTCTTAGCTTTCTCTGCCATTTATTTCCTTTGTTTTCTACACATTTATGAAGAAATTGGTCTATACTTTGAAATGTACTAAATAGAAAAGTTACTCAAAGGGGCACATAAAAAAAGTGTGCTCAACCAGAAATCATTTGAGTGGTGATCTCTTTAGACCACAGATGTGTAAGTTTGTTTTTTTATTTCTTAATAAACATTTTATTTTGTCAAAGGTAATATTGCATTGAATCCTAAATTGAGCTATTTTGGTGAAATGGGGATTTAAGCCAAGGCTGTGTGTGTTCAGTGCCCACAGGAATGCATCTCTGTACTCCCCACACCTGATTAGGAAGCCAGAGTTCGGAGAGCTAGGTTCTTGGTTCCTCCTTTACCTTGGTATGTGCCTGTCATTTCTGTATAGACAGACACAATGATGAAGAACTGGGGCGTTAGAAGCATAGGAAAACCAAAGGTAGCCCAAAGTTTCCACTCGGGGAAAACCTTTTATAATTATTTGGAGGCTTCTGTTCCTCTCTTTCCCCCTCATTTCCCCAGTTTTTAAATTTCAATTTAATTTTTTAAGGTTAAGTGCTTATGTGTACTTTTTGGTATCGGAACACACCAGCTTCAGAAACCATCATGAGTTTATTTTTTTCATTTATCCCATAGAAAATTTCTCTTTTCTGATTTCTGCCTTAAACAAAAAAAATCTAAAATGGCACTAAGTTATTTAAAGAGGTTTCTAGTTATTGTCTGTAAATAAGAGCCACTTTTAAAACCTTTTGGTAAATATATGATATAACAATAGTCTGTATGTGTGTACGTGTGTGCATTCTTTGTGTATGTGGTCTGTTTGTCCGTCTGTGCATGCATGCACTCCTCTTACTCTGTATGCAGGTACTCTTGTGTGTATAGATGTATGTGCATATGTGTGAGCCTACATGTGAAGACTACAAGATAGCCTCATGTGTTCCCCAGGAGCCATCACCTTGCTTTTTTGAGACAGGGTCTATCATTTGACCTCAAATTCAACAAGTAGACTAGACTGCTTGACCAGAGAGTCCCAGGGACCCATGCATTTCTGCTTCCCCTGCACTAGGGCCACCAGTGCCACCACATCCAGCTTTTTTTGAGCATGGGTCCTTGTTACTGGTAAGGCAAGTATTTTGCTGACAAAGCCATTTCCCTGGCCTCTGTTTTCAAAATTCATTATGTGGCTAATACGTATCTCTCATATTGTATATAGTATAGTTTTTCATAGTTTTATTATTTTAAAACAGAAAGGTACTTATTTAAAGCATCTTTAACTATATTCATTATTTATTTGGGGTATGTGTGTGCTACAGCACTCTTGAGGTCAAAGCACAATTTGTGGAAGCCAGTTCATTCCTTCTTCAGTGTGGATCTCAGGGAGCGATCCAGACTGTCAGGTTTGGCAGGAAGAACCTTTATCTGTGGAGCATGTAGTGGCCTCAAAAAGGTTTTGCCATTTGTGGTGGTGCATGCTTAAAATTGCTGTACTTACGAGACAGAGGCAGAGGATTGCCACAAGTTGAGGCCAGTCTGGCCTATGTAGTGAGTTCCAGGCCAGCAAGGGCTACATAGTGAAACCTTGTTTCAGAAAACCAAAACCAAAAATTCTAATATGGTTATCCATGAGTACAAACAGTACAGAGGATATATTCTAGGACCTCCACAGATAACAGATGACACTTAAACATAAATACTATGTAAATACTGAAAAGTCTGTACATATCCAATACAAGTACATTTTTAAGTAGTGAAATATAAAAACAAAACCAAAATTAACTGCTACTTGATTTATCATTTAACCAATTAATTCAAGTAGTTTACAAGCTTAATTTGCCTCCAGGTTCTCAATATGCAAGTAGGAAGTACCTTGTGTTGTTTTCCTTTGTATATGCATGTGTGTGCATGCCTGCCTGTCTGCCTGTGTGTGTGTGTGTGTATCTGTGTGTGCGTGTGTGTGCCTGTGCACATGGGTGGTGTGCATATGACTACATACATGTGGAGGCCCAAAGTTGATGTCAGTAATAATGCTCCATCACTGTTCCACCTTATGAGCTAGGGTCTCAATCAAACCCAGTACTTGTGATCTGTAGTGTTGTTGCTAGCTTGCTCTAGAGATTCTGTGTCCATCTTCTGAGGCTGGTCTGCTAATGGGCTGCCATGCCCACAGCTTTTGTGTGGTACTGGAATCCATACTCTGGACCTCGTGTCTGCATAGCAGGCAAGCACTTAGCCAGTAAGCCATCTCCCCAGCCCCTGGAAGCATCACTTTAGAAGAGAGGAAAAATTTTAATTTGTAATTTTTAATACCTGGGGTTTAACATAAAAGAGGTGTGGTTGCCACAGAAGGGTTTTGAAAGAGATTGGCATCCATTCATTTAGATGCATTTGAGCACCTACTGTTTTCTCAGTGGCTAGATAGAAAACATTAGAGAAAATAGAATGCAGAAAGAGTAATTAGATGAGATGACCAGATGAATTTCAATGGAACAAACAAATGAACAAGTGGAAATGGGAAATGGTAGAGAAGCCAGGGTGAATTCTAAAAAAGCAGACCAAGTATTCCCTTGTTAAATTTTCATTCTGCTTGCAGGCATGCATGTAGGGAATACCGGATTCACAAAGAACTGGACCATCCCAGAATAGTGAAGCTGTATGATTACTTCTCGCTGGACACCGACTCGTAAGTCCCACGACATTTCCCCTTACCTTATTTTCTTGTTAGATTGAGTACTCGTGGAATGGAGCTTAAATCTGGGCCCGGGAAATGCTCTCTAAGTGAACTAAATTTATTAATTTACAAGCAGATAATCATTCATAATTCAAATTTGGGTCAGCCAGGCATCTGTTGGCTAAAGGACAAGGGCCCTTGTATACTAGTTAGTAGCATTTTACAACTAGCTTGATAGGGAGAGGGATAAGGCTGATTGCCAGTATCTTTGGTATAAATAACTTCCATTATGTTCACTTTTAAGATACCAACAAAAAAAATTGGCAACTTTATTCTAATTTATATACCATGCGATTCACCCATGTAAAGTACACACTTGAGTGGGTTTTCATGTGTACATAGAGCATTTTCATTCTCAGAAGAAAGCTGAACCTTTTTACTGTCACTTCTCCATTTTACTTTCCCTCTGTTAAGCAGATACTACCCTCTGTCACCTTAGATGTCGTGTTGTAGGCTGTTTTATGAGTGGAATCATGGAGTGTGTGGACTTTGTGGCTGGCTTATTAAGGTCCATGCTTTTATAGTTGTGTGCCAGTAGTTCATCCATTCTTATACATTCTGTTGCATGAATTTGTCACATTGTGCTTAGTCTTACAAATAGTTAGCTAACCAGCTCACAAAATTCCTAAAAATGTAGCAGTCAGTCCTTAGGAATTGATTCAAGGTGGTGTTGACATGTCACTAGTGGGCTCAGCAAGTATAAACTGTTGAAGAGAACTCTACCTCACTATAGAGACTGATGGACCCCATGAACCTTAAGTACAACAGTGTCTGGTTACTCTAAAAACAGGAGGATTAACTTGATGCAAATAAAGATAGCCCAGTGCTGCTGGATGGAATGCAGGTTCATGGGCATTTTAGAGTTGGGATTTAGATTTTAGAACCTGGAGGGGTCTTAGGGTTCATCTTTCTTGATGTGTAGACAGATTTTTGAATAGCAGAAAAATGAAATGACTTGCAGGAGACCTTTGGTTCTCTTTGATAACCCTGTATGTAACAACATATAGGTCAGTACACTGCAGAGCCTTCAGGTTTATTCAAGGTTTAGGGATATTTCAGCATTTGGAAACTTTCTTTGTTGTAGTCAAGCCTGAGTCAGGAGAAGATAAGATACCTTAAGTCTGGCCTTCAGGTGTTCCCTCATTCTCCCAAGACAATGTCCAGGAGCTTTGGTCTATTCACCCAGCAGCTCTCTTAGACAGCCAGCCCATATATAGAAATAGATCCAAGAAATTCCGTGTTCCCTATGGAAACATGACTTGTTTCTTTTCTTATGTGCTCAAACTTTCCCCTTTTCATTAAGGAGCCTTTGCATCAATTATACCCCTGTGTGTGTTGTGAGTAGGGCTCAGAAAAAATACTATACTTAGATATCAAGGGGGAGAACCCTGGCCAAGTCTCCACAGGCAGTAAATTCCTTGAATACTAGATAGACTTTCCTGTGAAATATAAGTACTAAAACTATTTTAAAATAAGTGTAATGACTTGAATTATCTTCTGGTTTGAATTGTATACACATTTCAATGTGGTAGTAATTTCATACTACTCTTGTTTTGCTTTTCCTATTGTATTTCTTAGCAAAAACAAGTCAGATTGTTGCTTAGAACATCTTTTGAGAGTTGTTTAGATATATAAACTTAGATTTTTAGTTCTAGCTTGTTTGTGGGCAGAGTCAGCTCACCGAATGCAGTAAGAGTCTGACTCAGATTTCAGCATCTCAGGTGGGAGAATGAGCATTAGCATGCCTAGCAGGCTTCATAAAAAGCCGAGTTTCCTGAGAGTTTTCACGTGTGTGTGTTTGTAGTCAGTTGCAGTGCTGCTTGAGGTCAAGCCTGTAGCTGCTCACTGCTTCCCTTCCTTCCACTGCATTAGGGGGTCAATGCCAGGAAGCTATGTCAGCCAACGGGTAAGCACAGAGTTAGTTTCTCTTGTGACCTGCATTCTCATGGCACCATTTTCCTGTGACCCTCTATCTTTAGGGTGCCAACAACTTTCTACCATAACTAGTCTCTAGAGAGCCTTACTGGACGGTTTGTCTTCTTAGATCTCCCATCTGTGAATTAAAGCCGTCTCGCTTCAGTATTGAAGTGATTTTTGTTCCTGGTTAAGTTCTGACTGATAAGCCTAACCTACAATGATTTAGAAAGTATTCATCTCTCAGGAATATTCAAATAGTACATCAGTTTGAACACTTTGGAAGATAGATTCATTGCCTGTAGTGCCAACAGTGGTGTGTAATTTTAAATGGGGGTATGTGCAATGTATTGGCAAAAATGAAAGTAAAAGAACGTACCATATAACAGCATATTTGTGTAGTCTTGTATATATACCACTATACAACCAATTCTTCAGACCTCAGCACTCAGAGTTATATAAAATACTTTCGAGGACAATTGTGTGATTGATCACTGTATAGTAATGAGTACATTACTATAGCTACCCTGCTATAAGGGGGTGGCTAGCTCTAATATAGTTCTTGTCAGTGTTCTTAGAAGAGATAGGATGCAGTGAACTTTGGCACAGTCAATGCCAGTGTGGAGATGACAGGGGCTCATCTCCAGGAAAGCAAGCACTTCTCTTCCTGTGAGCCTTCTGGAAGCTGATGCTGAGTGGAAGATTGTTTAGGAACAGAGGAAAGGTTCGAGGCTTCATAATACCCGAGTCTTTGCTGGGAGTGGTTTAGATAGTTTTCATTTGCTCCTTACTCCACTGCTAAATGCTGATTTATGTGTCTTCAGGTTTTGTACAGTATTAGAATACTGTGAAGGAAATGATCTGGACTTCTACCTGAAACAGCACAAATTAATGTCGGAGAAAGAGGCCCGATCCATTATTATGCAGATTGTGAATGCTTTAAAGTACTTAAATGAAATAAAACCTCCCATCATACACTATGACCTCAAACCAGGTATGGCTCAGTTTTAGGAGACATTAGTAATGGATTTTCAGTCTTTTAAGTGACTTGTACATTTATTGAGTCAAAGAATTTGGAAGGAGCCAAGAAGGATGCCTGGGTAGGTGTGGGAAGAAAGGAGCCCTGACTACCTAGTGCTGGGTGTAGGGGGGTGGGTAGGTTAGACTAAATTCTCTGGAGAAACAATGCCATTGTGTACTGAACCAGGAAAATTCATGATGTCATTTAGAAACAACTCTTTTGGCAAGTTCCATTTTGCTGTTCCCATTACTCACACAATGAAGCAGTTCCTTTGTCTTAGGTCTCCCTGATACGTACACGTATACCTCAAAGTTTCCTTAAGTCCCAGCAGTTTTTCACCTTTTTGAATTATCATTTCACTTGATAGTCATCAGGAAAAAGCAAGGAGCTTTTTATCCCTTCTTTTTGGTTATCTTCAGCTGATGTTTTTCTGTTTTTGGTTTGTTCATGCTTCAGGTAGATGGCTCTAAAGTGGAATGTGGGTATTCAGAACCTAGTTCCATCATCTCCTTTAGGCAGGTTTTTTGACTGCCTTGCTCTTCTGTATGTAAGAGCTCACCACTCATTGTTGTTTATGTTATGTTCTGATATGGTTGACATGACTGGAAAATCATTTATAATGAAGTGAGTTTGTTTTAAAAATGGCTGCTGGGTGATCATTTTTTATCACTGAAGTCACCACAATTTCTGCCGTAGGAGCTATAGGTGGCGCTGTGGCACCATGTTTGGTTCCCAAGTCTGTTTTCTTTGTATCCCCTCCACTGTCTCCTCCCTGACATTGCTGCTCTAACCCTGTTAGCACAGAGAGCACATCTAAAGTTCATGTGAAGTTTTCCCACCTCTTCTTTTTTTTTTTTTAAACCCAACTGGATAAGTGATATTTTACTTTGGCAAGTCATTTTTATTTCCAGTGCCCAGAATGGATTTTGGCACATTAAACAAGCAATTCTTAGAAAATAGAAGTTTCCAGTGGACACTGAAGGTTCTCCCTGTGTCCAGTTAGATTACTTAGAGTTCACTTGTTTCCTTCTTGTGTGTCTTTTTTCTTACTGAAGAAGTCTCTGTTTATTCATGGACATTTTTATCTTTTTAGGTAATATCCTTTTAGTAAATGGTACAGCATGTGGAGAGATAAAAATTACAGATTTTGGTCTTTCCAAGATCATGGATGATGATAGCTACAATTCAGTGGATGGTATGGAACTGACGTCACAAGGTGCTGGTACTTACTGGTAGGTATCTAGGAGGTCTGCCAAGTTGGTTGGTGGGTATGTGGCTATGTTGGATTGAATCCTTGGTGATTAATCCTATGTAGTCTGCTAAAGCAGAAATACCCTGTCTTTTTAGCAGTTTGACTTTTTGTATTGTTATTTATTTTCTTTGTGTTCTTGAAAACCCTTGAAGAGAGTGCTTGTGTAATCCGATCCTTGGAGATGTATGTGTCTTACACAGTGCTGGCCATACAAGCCAGTAGAGAACGAGGTTGCTTATGTGTTTAAAAGAACAGCCCTGAAGTCTTTATAGTTCAAGTAGAGGCCTCTCCTTGTGTTAAAGGGATGAGGGATTTGTTTCTAGGATGATGAACTGTCAAGTCAAGGATTAAGGACTTGTGAAAATCAGGATAGGAACCAAAACAAACAGAAAAAAAAACAGAAATCCACAGTATCCCATGAAAGAGCGAGCACAGTTTGGCAGAGTTATAGCTGTTTCTGTCAGCCACGCCCTAAAGGTTTGAGGCTCCTCCTTGTAGGCGCCTTACTGCAGCTAGCTCTGCTTCACAGTTCTTTGAACACTCCTGCCTACGATAGGCTTTTTTCACTGTGACTTTTTACAGTGGGAACCACAAAGTATGCCTGTGCCTGGGGCATGCAACTTTATGATGGTAATTTACTGTTTTATTCCCTTCTGAGGTGGTTATACAAAGCCACACTCTGCCTTAAGTGACAGAGAAGCCTCCATAGCACTACAGGAGAGGTAGGTGACATGCCTTTGTACCCCAGCCTCTTGTAGAAGGCTCTGGGTCTAGAATTCTGTCTAGGAATGAGGGGCTCTATGAGGAAGTATGTAAAAGGGGCATGCCATTCAGAATGCGTGGAAGGAACCCTGTTCTCCTTTGCTGAGCCCGTTGATTGTTAGGTGGGCAGTGTTGCTCTTTGTGCTTGTGGAAATGGTACCTATAGTCAAGAGTCAGTCCTTAAATTAGAATTTTCAAATGCTAGGTTTAAAATAGAAGTTGCATTTATAGTGTTTACTCACTGTGGTGGTTATTGTGGGTTAGTCTCCCTGTCGCTAAGTGACACCAAAATATACATACAGTTGGTGATTTTGGGGAAGAGGTCTATACCTCTTTATATGAGTTTATTGGAACTTACACTTGAGTTTTTTGCTTGTTAGGTTATTCTTTTTAAAGTGTAGTCAGTCTGTCTCACACACTCACTCTCTCCCACACGTCTAAAATAGCTATTGAAAAATAATAAACTGTTCTGGGTGGAGTAGTGCACACTTTAATCCTAGCATGGGGGGGTGGGCAGAAAGCAGGTAGATCTCCATGAATATAAGGCCAGCCTGGTTTACATAGTGAGTAAGACCCTGAGTGTTCTTTCTACTTCAATTAGAGTTGAGTAAGATAAAGGGTTTCTGAGCTGACCTTGGTAGCTCACACCTAAATGGATCTCTGTGAGTTTGAGGCCAGCTTGATCTACATAATGAGTTCCAGGACAGCCATACTGTTTCTATAAAGTTTTTTTGTTTGTTTTTGTGTTGGTTTTTTGGGGGGAGGGGTAGGGGGAGGAGTTTTCTGTGTAACAGCTCTGGCTGTCCTGGAACTCACTCTGCAGACCAGGCTGGCCTCAAACTTACAGAGATCCACCTGCCTCTGCCTCCTGAGTTCTAGGATTAAAGGTGTGCACCACTACTTCCCAGCTCTATAAAGTTTTAAAGTGTGTATTGATAATGGTGTCATAGTCACCAGCCTCAATATGTTGCCCTTTTAGCATAATGACCCAGAGAGATAAAAACAGCCTGGGGGGGATGGGGGCAGGTTCAGAACATTTTAAATAACTCATTGTGGATTTAAGCTTACCTGAATTCTACATTGAACAAGATAAATGAACTGGGAAACTTGAGAGATGGATTAGTGGTTCAAACTGCTTTCAGTGGAAACATGAGGACCTGAGTTAGGATTCCAGTACCCACAAAAAAATAAAGCAAAGCATGCCCACACTGGTTGGGTCTGCAGCCTCTGGCACTGTAGGGGACAGACGGGAATTATTAGGACCTAGCTACAGGTTCAGTGAGAAATCATGTCTCAGAAGAATAACCGATAGCCAGACATGGTGGCACATACCTTTAATCCCAGCCCTTAAGGCAGAAACAGTGAGTTCCATATCAGCCTGGTCTACATAGCCAGTTCCAGGTGAGACAAGGCTACTACTCAGTGAGAGCATGTCTGTCTCAGAATGGGACAAGGAAGAGTAAGTGATAGAGCAGGACACCTGGTAGTCTCCTCATGTGCACAGGTGTGTATACCTGCATAGGCTTGCACATAAACCATACATGAACTCCCAGACATATGCAAGATGCATGAGTAGGGCATGGTAGTGCATTCCTTTAATTACAGCCTTTAGACCAGCCTGTCTCAAGAAACAAAACAAAGAAAGGAAGAAAGAAAGAAAGAAAGAAAGAAAGAAAGAAAGAAAGAAAGAAAGAAAGAAAGAAAGAAAGGAAAAGAAAAGAAAACATGAGGTGAATGAGCTCAGATTATGCTTTGGGCATTGTGTCTGAGCTTCATTTCTTCTATATGAGGACTTGTGATAAAAATGCAGCTGTTTTTAGCATAGTTTGTTATCATAGGCCTGTCCTCTGCAATCTCTCCCAAAGCTCTTGGTAGGAAATGAGAACATTTACTTTTCTCAGTATTATTTGTGTGGAAAACTAGTTTATTTTTTCATTTGTAGATGAAGAAACTATAAATTAGAAGCTGATTTACCAAACACATACTGTCAAGTTGAAGTGCCTTTTACATTCTGTTTTGTTTTGTTTTCAGGGTTTTTCTGTGTAGCCCTAGCTGTCTTGTAGACCAGGCTGGCTTCAAACTCTTTGCAACTCTTTTGGGGGTCAAACGACCCTTTCACAGGGGTCACCTAAGACTATTGGAAAACACAGATAATTACATTACAATTCATAACAGTAGCAAAATTATGGTTATGAAGTAGCAATGAAATTAATTTTATGGTTGGGGTCACTATAACATGAGGAACTTATTAAAGGGTTACAGCATAAGGAAGGTTGAAAACCACTGTTCTATTATCTTCAGAATTCTACCTTCAACTGAGCTGTGACTAGGATTCTGGACATACTTATTTTCTAAATGCTCAGAGGTTCTTACCTTCCACACTATACAACTTGTAGTAGCCCTCTGCCTCCAGAGAGCAGTGGTGGTGAGGAGTTCAGATGAGGGTCTTTGTGTGGCATTTGCTATACTAATTGTTAGCCTTTCAGCAAGCTATATCACCTTTAATGTGGAAAAGTAAAACATGTTCTATTAACTTGGACTTTAATGTCACTCTGGATTTTTATTGGGGTTATTTCTATATGGGTTTCCAAAAGAAGCTGCCTTAAAAAGGCAGAATAGACTCTGCCCTCGAGAGACCTCTAGGTCCTGAATTCATTTGGATTTCAAAACATTTATTAATTTTAGGACCTGGAAATGTAGCTTATTAAAAGCTCTGATTTAATCTTCAGCACCTCCAAAAAATTGATTGTGGCCTGAGTCTATAGCTCCATAGTAGAACACATAATTCAATGCCTGAGACCGTCCTTGTGATCCCCAGTTGTCACCATCACAACAATATACTACAACAAAATTTGTGAATGACACTTGGAGTTGGCACAAGCCTGAGAAAGAAGGCTGGGGGGTGAGCCAAATGAACCTAGAAAGAATATTTATATCTCCATAAATTGAGAAATAAAATACTTTAATGCCCTGAAGATATAGCCACCTCCATAAGTTTAAGTGTTCTTTTGTTTACTTGTATATATTTATTTCTAAGCTGATGGTTGAAACTAGAATGCTTGGTATATATATGTGTGTGTTCGCACATATATATGTATGTTTTATACACACACACACACATACACACACACACACTTTTTTTTCCTTGAGAACCAAGATCTCTTTCCTTAGCCCCAGCTACTACTTGCAGAGATCCGTCTGTACCTCTGCTTGTGCCATAATTAAAAGTGTACCTGACTGAGTGTTACATTTTTAACAAGGTCCTTTATTTTGCTTTTTTGTATATGACTTAGAGTTATATTTTCTGAGTGTTTTTGTTTCTATTTTCTCCTAGGTATTTACCACCAGAGTGTTTTGTGGTTGGGAAAGAGCCACCAAAGATCTCAAATAAAGTTGACGTCTGGTCAGTGGGTGTGATCTTCTACCAGTGTCTTTATGGGAGGAAGGTGAGGAGGAAGGCAGTGCAGCAACCTGGGGCCATGTCCACCACCTCAGTGTGGATTCTTTGCAGTTAATTATTGGGATCTTGAAAGTACTGGTTAAAGAAAATACAGGCTGGAGGACACCTACTGAATTCTCCCAAGCCATCAGAGCATGCATGTTGCTGTTCTCAAATATAGACGTTTTGGTTCTGATATGTGTATGAATTGGAATGTCAAGCAGGGTGGTTTTTTGTTTTGTTTTGAAAGGTCTTGCTCTGTAGCTGTGGTTGATCTGTTACTGTATAGTCCAGGCTGAGCCCAGACTCAAGGCATTCCCCCTGCCTTGGCCTCTTGAACACTGAGATTGTATCACATCTATCTTGAAATCGTTTAATAATGTGCCCAAGAACTATTCTCTAGGTTCTAATAAGTTCTGAAACGTGAAGATTCTCTAGATTTTATTTTTAATCACCTCTTTAGATAAAGCTGTTAATAAAAATACACCATGCCTGTACATGCTGTAAAAGCTAGAGGTTCACCTCAGGGTTGTCCTTAGTTATTTTCCATCTTGTTTTTTGAGACAAGGCCTCTCACTGAACCCCACTCAGCTAGACTAGCTTGCCATCTTGCCCCTACATGTCTGCTGTCTTAGTCTCCCCTGTGCTGGGATTACAGGTACATGGCTGCTACACCTAGCTTTTTTATGTGGGTGCTGGGGATCAAACTCAGTGTTTTATAGTAAGCAAGCACTTTACCCACTGAGCCATCTTCCTAATACCCCCCCCCCCAGTACTTTTTTGTTTCTTAGTTTTGTTTTGTGGAGACTGGATCTCACACTATAGCCCTGGCTGATTTGAAGTTCTCTGTGTTTGAATCAAGCTGGCCTCAAACTCAGAGATTGTCCTACCTCTGCTTCCTGAGAGAGCCTGAGATTAAAGGAGAGAATCACCATACCTGGCAAAGACTTATTTGAATATTTATTTATGTGTTTGTCTCTGAGTATCTGAGTACACGTTTGCCTGTGTCACATGCTGTCCTAATTTGCTTTCTGTTGCTGTGACAAACAGCACGACAGACAACAACAACAAAATAACTTGGGGGAATTATTTGGCTTAGGTGTCTGGATCACAGACCACCATTAAGAGAGCTCAGGGCAGGGACCAGGGAGGAGTGCTGCTTACTGCTGCTCTTCGAGGCTTGCTTGCATACATCAGCCAGAACCACCTGCCCAGGGTGACATTGCACAATGGGGGGGGGGGGCTTTCCACATCAATCTTGAGTCAGAAAATGCCCCACTGTCTTGCCTCCAGGCATTCTGATGGAGGCAGTTCCTTAATTAAGGTTCCCAGGTGACTCCAGCTTATGTTAAGTTGCACAGAACTAACCATCACAGATACTCTGGTGCTAGATTTACAAGAGGTTGTGAGTTGTTTGACATGGGTGTTGGGAACCAAACTGGGGTTCTCTACAAGAATAGCAAGTGCTCATGTGTGCTGAGGTGTTGTCAGAAAATATCCCTTGGCCAACTGTGGTAGTTTATGACTATAATTCCAGTATTTGGGAGTCTGAGGCAGGAAGATCAAAGGAGTGTGGGAACCCTGAACTATATAGTAAAAACCCATCAAGAAAACCAAGGCTGTAGTTTAGAGGCATAGTACTTAGCTCATATGTACAAAGCCCTGAGTGCCATTCCCACACACCCCCAACAGTATTTCTTGTCTACTTCTGATAGAGGTGTTATATCATTAGAGAAAACAATGGCAGTGTTTTTTCCTTATGAGCAGCATGTCTTTTATACACCCACACAGTGTATATATATACACACACATACTAGGGTTCAATTGTATATTAATATTCCTCCTTCTGCCTTCAGAGTGTTTCAGTGTTCAGTTACACTGAACATAGGCATAAAGCAGATGGGAGTTTGGCAGCTCCCAGACCAAACTCCTAACACAGACAACTCCTTCCTCTTTAACCTCTTAGTCTTCCTTTATCCAGCCTCTCCTAGATAAGAAAACTATGCTGAACTAGTGGAGCTTAATTATTTTGTACTATCTAAGAGTGTGGAGTTCTGGCTAATGGTGTAGTCATTACTGTAAGTTTGAGCCTTTTTTAAAAGTTTACTAGGAAATGCAAGTTGAAGTTAAAAGCCCTAAGTGGTCCTAGCACTGTTTTTTTTTTTGTTAGGTTTTGTTTCTTTCCTTCTTTTTTTTTCTTTCTTTCTTTTTTTTTTTCTTAAAGATTTTATTTATTTATTATGTGTACAACATTCTGCTTCCATGTATATCTGCACAACAGAAGAGGGCACCAGGTCTCATAACGGATGGTTGTGAGCCACCATGTGGTTGCTGGGAATTGAACTCAGGACCTCTGGAAGAGCAGTCAGTGCTCTTAACCTCTGAGCCATCTCTCCAGCCCCTCCTTCTTTTTTTTCCTAAGACAGGGTTTCTCTGTGTAGTTTTGTAGACCAGGCTGGCCTTGAACTCACAGAGATCCTCCTGCCTCTGCCTCCTGAGTGCTGGGATCAGAGGCAAGTGCCACCATCACTCAGCTTAACATTTTTCTTTTTAGATTTACTTATTTTATATATATGAGTGTTTTTCCTGAATGTATGTGTATGCACTTTCTGAGTTCAGAAGAGGACATTAGATCCCCTGAAGCTGGTGTTACAGATGATTGTGAACCTCCATGTGGGTGCTGGGAACCAAACCCCAGTCCTCTGCAAGAGCAGCTAGTGTTCTCAGTTGCTGAGCCTTCTCTCCAGTCTTCTTGATTGATTTTTCCATCCGTTTTGTTTTTGTTTTTTGTGTATGTCTTGGGTTAGCTAGTGGCACGTAGATAGGTGACTCTGAACTCAAGAGGCTGCTAATTTCTGTACTGAATCTTTCTTTGCTATGAGCAAAGCTAGAGATAGGAGAAACTGCTCCTAGTTCCCTGTTCTACCTTGACCTGGTCTTTAAGCTTTGGACCCTCCCCATTAAGGTCAAAGGTGAGAATTAAAGGAGAGAATCCCCAGAGTTTGGAAACTCTTCTGTGGTACTGAATTGTGTAGCCAAAGGCCAACCTTTGTTTATTTTGTTTTTCTATGACAGCCTTTTGGCCATAACCAGTCCCAGCAAGATATTCTACAAGAGAATACTATTCTTAAAGCTACTGAAGTACAGTTCCCGCCAAAGCCAGTAGTTACACCTGAAGCAAAGGTAAGTTTGATTCATTGGCCAGCAGAAATGGCTGGCTTCGTGTGTCCTGTCTTTGGGTGGTAGCAACTGATTTGTTTAATATGAAATTCAGACATTAGTAAGCAGCAGATGGAGACAAATCATTGTTCAAGAACAGTGGGGCCGGGTGATGGTGACACACACCTTTAGTTCCAGCACACTCGGGAGTCAGAAGCAGGCGGATCTCTGTGAGTTCGAGGCCAGCCTGGTCTACAGAGCCAGTGCCAGGACAGGCTCCAAAGCTACAGAGAAACCCTGTCTCAAAACACAACCCCTACCCCCACCTCAGTGAGTAGAAGAGTATTGCGTATAGTCTGCCCATCTCACCCCCAGGTTCAGTAAAAAGGAATATTCACAAGCAGATTGGACCCACAAGGGCTGTGTGACACAGGACAGGGAAGGATTGATTGGTAGACTCCAGTAGAGTGACACCTGGTAGTGTGTGCGATAGGAGGGATGCCCAGTTTCATGCCTGTCAGGAGGGTGGGCTGTCTGGGGCACTAAGACCTACCCATAGGAGAAATGGTGCAGGTGGGGGTACTGAAGTGGAAAGGTGATAGCCCCCTCCATTTTTGATGGCGTGGTTGGGGTAGGTGTCCATGATCAGTGTCCTGAATGATGTGTAGATTGGAGTGAAGTGTGTTCTGTAGGGAAGGAAAGAGAATTATAGAAGAGGTGCAGAGCATTGTGAAATGGGTGAGAAGCAGGCAAATGGTGTAGTCATGGCAACTGTATGGTCCAATTTTCAGAGCCTACTATGACAGCTATGTGTCGAGACATTTATTGGGTAATGTTACAATCTATGACAACCTGGCAAAACTCTAGTTTTGTGTATTTCATTATCAAAGGCTCATTTTTAAAGCCAGGCATTCCATGTTCATTTCTGTGAACGTCTTTTAGCTTCCAAATACTTTAATCAAACAGATACCTGTGTCTTCAGTTTTGAAAAGTCAGAATTGCCCTTCTACCTTTATATTCTGCTACTTAAGCATGGAAAGAGAAAAAAAAGTCACTTGTGATGATGTTTTAGATTTTTCTGTAAATAAGCCTACGTCATTTTGTTTGTCTGTGCCAGATGGACTGTTTGATTGGTAGGTGAGCACTCCACCTCTGAGTTCCATCCTCAGCCACATTTTAAACAGAGCACAAAGAGCATAGTTCCCATATACGTATGTCTCTCCCTGCTCTACAGCATCCCCTGTCAGCATCCCATCTCTAGGTTGGGATGTGTGTTGTCATCTGTGAGCCTGCCACACATCATTATCAGCTTACTATGAAATACAGACTATTGATAAATAGGATGTTTTAGACTTAAAAACTGATTAACTGGGGCCAAGAACATAACTAAGTTGGTAGAGTGCTTACCTGGCATGCGCAGAGCCCTGGGCTCCATCCCTAGCACTGCACAAAGCAAATGTGGTTGGGTTCACATGTGTAATCCCAGCACTCTAGGTGTGGGGGCAGGAGGATCAGAATTCAGGGTCATCCTGGGCTACATACTGAATTTGAGATGAGCATGAGGTTCAAGAAAAACAAATAAGTTGATACATTTAAATACATTACATTATAAAATTTGAATAAATTGAATTCTCAGGTCAAAAAAATAGGGAGACAGAAAAGACTTAAAAGTCTGTTGCAGTAATAGGACTAGGACTACCCGGCCTTCTGTGTTGATAGTGAGGTTGAAGTCAAATCATTCTGTAATACTCTGCAGACCACATACTAGTGTTGGCCCTTGTCTCTTCTGCTCTGCCTGATGAATTTGGGAAGGCTGTAACCCTTTTTTGGAGGGTGGGAGGGTTTGCTCTGTGTAGCGGTGGTTTGGGTCCCTCAGGTTCCCACCCATGTACCAGGATTAACTCCTTCAGTCTTTGTATGAAATGTCCTCACACAGGCATTTATCCGGCGATGCTTGGCCTATCGAAAGGAGGACCGTATCGATGTCCAGCAGCTGGCCTGTGACCCCTACTTGTTGCCTCACATCCGAAAGTCAGTCTCTACAAGTAGCCCTGCTGGAGCTGCTATTGCATCAACCTCTGGGGCGTCCAATAACAGTTCTTCGAATTGAGACCAACTCCAAGGCCACAGACTGTTTAGCACAGAGTGGACACATGGCATCAGCAGTGGGTTTGGAACAGTGAATCCGAATGGATCTCATGAAACCTGTACCAGGTGCTTTTCTTTTCTTGCTTTTTCCCATCCATAGAGCATGACAGCATCGATTCTCATTGAGGAGAAGCCTTGGGCAGCTCTGGCCAGGCCTCATAGGAGAAGACCCCGCCCGGGGTCCGGCGTCAACGGTCACTGTGTGTGGCTGCTCTGAGTGAGGAAAAAATTAAAAAGAAAAAACTGGTTCCATGTACTGTGAACTTGAAAACATGCAGACTCAGGGGATTCCCTGATGCAGTGCTTCAGATGAAGAATGTGGACTTGAAAATACAGACTGGGCTAGTCCAGTGTCTATATTTAAACTTGCTCTTTTCTTTTAATAAAGTTTAGGTACCATCTCCTGAAAAGCTTGTAGCACAGAGGCTCAGCTGGGGATGGTGTTTGACTTCGGAGGAAAAAGTTGCTATCGCCCATTAAAGGCACTAGAGTTAGTGTTCTATCCCGAAATAATTTCAGTTTTTAAAAACATGCAGCTTCCCTCACCCCTTTTTTATTTTTGAAAGATTACATTTGGTCATAAAGTGAAACCCGTATTAGCAAGTACGTGGCAATGTTCATTCCAGTCAGAGGCAGCTCCTGCCCTCTGGTCTCCCGCTGACGGATCTTTCCCTCACGGGAGCTCTGAGATGCCTGGGCTTTGCCATCCGACGAAGAATGAGGTTAGAAGACTGCAGCTGGAGGCTCTCGAGGTTTTCAGATATTTCTTCACAATTTGAACACTTGACGGTTGTCCCTTTTAATTTATTTGAAGTGCTATTTTTTTAAATAAAGGTTCATCTGTCCATGCAGTCTTCCTGGATTCTCTGAATGTAGTAACTATCGAAACTCCTTCTAGAGGTAAACAGAAGGCTGGCGGGGGGAGGGGGTGGTAGCGCTTCAGTCTGTACTCACAGGACAGGCTACATTTTTTGTTAACCTTGCTATTAACTTGGTCAGCTCATGAGCTCTCCCCCTCTCAGAGCTTTGGGAGAGAAAACCACCTCTCCCAGGCATTTGAACTTGGTGAATATGCACTGGGGTGTGTGTGTGTGTGTGTCTGTCTGTCTGTCTGTCTGTCTGTCTGTCTGTCTGTCTGTCTGTCTGTGAGCATGTATGCTCTTCTAACTCACTTTGATAGATTCATCTAGTGGAATTTAAAAAAAAATCTCAAGGAATATAGGTATTTCAGGTATGAACTTTCTTCTGGATCGACACCCCCCCTTCTTTCTGAGATGTGTGGTCAACTGAAGACGGAGCTGCAATGGGAGCCGTGTGGCCCCACTGTGCCCTTGAACAGCAGAGCTCCTGCGGGAGACGGTTGGAGGCCAGGGCTTACACATGTGGTAGCCAGCTTGGAATGTTACTGACATGTGGCAAGAGGGCCAGCCAGAAAACCTTAAAGATGCAGAGTTCAGAGCGGGGGTGGGGAGTCGGGAAGGGCAGAGGGCTCTTAAGCAATTCATTGACTCTAGTGCTCTGTACATACGAATAGTGCCCCTGAGTGCACATTTCTAAGACCCTGTGTATTTTGTAGTTATGCCCCACTTTGCTCAGTATCAAGTGGTCTTAAAGGAAGGCAGAACATTCCAAACTGAAGGAAATTTGTAGGCAGGTCTTATCACATGGCCTTCTGGGAAAAAAAGTTAAGCTTCTGATGCTTGGGTGTCCCCAGCTTTGAAAGCAGCTATTGTTTTTTTTTGTTTGTTTGTTTTGTTTTGTTTTTCTTGAAATACATATTTTGTAAGTACCCCTCCTCTGGTCAAATGCTAGGGCTGGAGCCCAAGGCCTTACATATGGCTCCTAGCCTCCACCCCACCCCAGTGACTGCCTTCAAGCAGAAGGCACAGAACCAGACAAGCCCAGCAGTGATAGGATGGACGGTGGCCACACTCATGGAGTGGGTGAAGCAGAAGCTGTGTTCAACTAGCTCGAAGGAACTCAGTTTGCACCTTTTATCCTTCATTTGTGACCCTGCAATTTTTAATTTTTGACTCAGTTGGGCGAAAGATGCTGTGTCTTTCTGCCTTCCCTCGATTCCTGCCCTATTTCCTCTTCCTTATCAGCGAGTGGCAGGGCTTGCTTCGTGCTCTGCCTTTTCTCGCTCATCCTAAAGAAGGGTGTACCCTCCCTTTGTGCTTTGTGCTCTGTGTCCTGGCTGGCCTGGCTTGAATCTGGGCACTCGAGGCATCTTTCCACTGCCTGGAGCAACTCCAGAGAACACACACTGACCTCTCTTTGAAGGGGCAGTAAAGTGGGGCTCTCTGATGGATGAGGGTTTCACTTTCTCCAGGCTTTAGTCCTTTATTTCCACAGTGCTGATTGACTCTATCCAGTGCATCATCCTCTGAACATTGAGATGTGATTCTCGTCTACAAATATGCTGGGCTGCAGTTGTTACTCTCCCAAGTCCATGGTTGGACTCTCCTGCCAAAAGTACTAATTTATGGCCAGGTCGTGGCACACGCCTTTAATCCCAGCACTCAGGAGGCAGAGGCAGTCGGATCTCTGTGAGTTTGAGGCCAGCCTGGTCTACAGAGGGAGTTCTAGTACAGCTAGTACTACACAGAGAAACCCTGTCTTGAAAAACCAAAAGAAAAAAAAATTACTAATTTATAATTAAACTTATGCAGAGTATTTTGGCTTATCCCAATAGACAGTATAAGGCAAAGTATATATTAAACATAAATTATAAGAAGTGAATTTTAGGGTGATGAGATGACATAGCAAGAAAAGACACTCGTTGCAAAGCCTGATATCCTAAGTTTAATCCCTGGGAACCCAGAAAATTGACTCCTACAAATTGTCCTCTGACTTCCACATACCTGCCTTGGTGTACCACTATTACACACACACACACACACACACACACACAAATAAATAAATGTAATTTTAAAAAGAAATTAGGGCCGGAGAGATGGCTCAGCGGTTAAGAGCACTGACTGCTCTTCCAGAGGTCCTGAGTTCAATTCCCGGCAACCACATGGTGTTTCACAACCACTTTGAGTGAGATCTGGTGTCCTCTGCTGGAGTGCAGGCAGAAGACTGTGTACATAATAAATAAATAAAATCTTTAAAAATAAACAAATAAATAAAATGAAAAGAAATTAGTTCCCAACCTCTTGGTTTCATTCAGGTTCTCCAGCCTCACACAGGACCCTTTCTCATCATCAGGGGGATAGGCACAGGAATCTCGGTAGCTGGTAGGGTTCCCACGGGTCCCACAAACATAATGGAAATGTGTTGACTCATGTAGTACTTTTTGTGCCTCTTACATGCCAAAAACTTTCCTTGGTGGTGGAGCATACTGGATGAAGGCCTGCTGATGGGCTCACAGTCCCATGAGAGCCTGGGCCTAAGAAGAGGCAGAATGTGGGGGCCTAAGGGGGAGAAGTCGGGCTCTTAAACTGTTAAGAACCCTGCTGCTGTGGCTGTGGCTGTGGCTGACCTAAGACACTGGGTTTGTTTCAGAGCTGCATCTGTTTCCTTCACTGTAGTCTGGGAGGGGCAGGTTTTCTCCTAGCTGAGATTAGCAGTTAGAGCATGAAAATAGCTGTCTTTAAACAGTTACTTAGGGTCTAGAGCTAAAGCGAAGGTGTGCTTCTAAGAAGGTAACATGTAACTTGGCTACACTTAACGATTTTTTTTCTTCTGGGACTCCTTTCTTCCTTCCCATACCGAATCATTCTGATATCCCAAGTGTCTCTTCTTCCTCCTCTTCTTTCTTCTGTTTTTCCTCTTCTTTCAGTTCTTCAGGCAGAATCTCGCAGGCTTTAAAGTTAGACCCGAGTTCAGATCCCATCTTGGAAAGCTTCATGGATATCTTGCACTGTGGAAATAAGTTAGAAGGTAGATAAAGGGCCTGACACACAGGAGTGCCATAAGAAATATTTAAGAAAGATGACAAGACCCTGTAACAGGAGCCAAGTTTGGAATCTTCAAGTTCACTGGTTTCAAGTTTAGAACCTTCTTGCTAAGTTGGCAAGAGATCATTTGGCCATTCGTTGTTGGTCAATAGGTCTCATTCCACCTGGAAGATGGCTTCTGGCTGAGTCTGGGACCATCAGCGACACTGGGAGTTTGTTAGATGTGTAAAGTCTCAGGCTCCCATCCCACCATCAAAAACTGGAGGTAGAGGCTTAACTGACCGTGTTACTTCTAGGTGGTACTGATGCAGGGGCATATTTGAGAACATAGCTGTGGACAGTTAGACTCCCAGGGCAGGGTGAGCCTGGAAGGTTGCCATTTCTACCCTTCGCCTGCCTGCCCTGAAGTGACTATGGCAGGGTCATTGGAGAGGATGGCTGTGAGACCTCTTAGCAGTACTAGTATAACTAGCCTGCCTGGAAATGTGATGTTATATTAAAAGACATTTGTCCCTCCATTTGATAATGGGACCATTTAACAAAGACCTCCCCAAGAAATCAACTTCCCAAGGAATCTTAATACTAGGAAAGACTAAAGCCAGAACCTAGAAAAAGATTTGCAACTTGTCATACTACTTACAAGAGACAGTGATGGGTCGTTGCCAGCAGGTCCACCCCTGGATCAGGACTGTGTGATTACGCATATCTCTTGCTTCCCTTTTAAGCTTAAGCCTCATGTTGAGACTCTGAAGATGGACTTGGAAGGTCACAGAGCCCTTTGTCCCTCTTCACAATGTGACTATATTGAATAAATCTTTTTCTGCTTTTCCACTATTTTCAGCTTTTTAAATTGGCTTATTGAAGATGGGTGGCAGAATCTGGCTTATTGGAATAGCCAGATGGAACCCAAGGCCTTACACACAGTAGGTTTCTGGCTTCTGAACTCACCCAACTTCAAGGAAGATGAGTCCTGTTTTATTTTTATCTTTGGGAATCAAAGTCTAACTAAAGCTCAGGACCTCTGGACTATTGTTAAACACTGTGTCATTATGGGGAGCTGCAAGACATACCCTAGACATAAATCCCTGCAGGCATTGTAACAGTACTCTTGGGCAAAGCTGCTCACCTTGGACCCTTCAAACCCTAAAGCCATAGGGTATCTTTTGAGTTAGTTCGTCAGTTTCCTCATACATGAGGGGTTCAGGGCTACAGAAGAGAGATGGCTTCAACAGGAGGTCTGGATCAGGGATGAGCACAGATGAGCTGCAGTTCTTTGGAGGGGTGAAGAGGGTTAAAGGGGGAGAGGCCTGAGGATTGAGGGAACCTGCCAGAGGCTGGGAAAACAGGCAAGTCTGGGGCCAGGTGGGGGCAGGGAATACAAGAGTGCTTTTGTGCAGGCTGAGCCCAGAAGGGGCCTTAGACAGACCGGAGTCTGCCAAGGATGTGTGTATGTGTAAGGTTCTGGGCGGGAGACCCCATGGTGAGGGGTCAGAGAGCAGCGGGCAGGCTGGCTGGCTTGTAACTTAGCTCCACCCATCTGGCCCTGGGTCAGGCTCCTGGGTGTGGTAGTTAAATGTCCAGTTAGAAGACTGTTCAGGTCTTCTGGCCTCAAGCTTTCTTCCCCTGGAGATTGAATGGGAGGAGGAGGAGGTGGAGGAGGAGGAGGGGGGAGCCATATAGAAGGGACGGGGCCTTAGCACTGTTAGAGACTAAAAAACTGAAGTCCAGAGCCATTTGGTGACAAACAGTAGTTGGAGCTTGTAGTAACTGGGAAGGGGGCTGCAGATTGAACTTTAGTGAGCTGGGTTCATCTCTGCCATGTTTGTGCAGAGATGGCTGTGGGCAAAGATGACACTTGGGCTTCCAAACAGACAGAGGCATGTATTTGTCCTAATCTAGGCTAGTCCTAAACTGTGCTTGTTTTGCTCAAATCCTGCCCCTCCTGA